TTATTTGATTACCTAGTGATTACGATAATTAGTGTTTGACGTAAGTTTCAACGAAGTAAAACTCAAGTAAGGTAGTTCGGAATCGCAATTCATGAAGTTATCAAACAAAAAATTCTAACAAATGGTTAAATATAGCTGGGAAACCAGCCGTAAACGCAGACTCGTGATATAGTACATAAATAGTAAGAGTAAATATAAGTCAGTTACTCAGATACTACTATTCTTCTCACGTAATGAGAACTAACTACCTATTACAAATATAGTTTATAGGCTATAAATTGCCTATAATTAAAGGATATGAAATCAAAATTCATCATATAGCTTAGAAAAATATAGTAACAAATAATGACACATATCAACACAAATTGTATTAAATCCTGATTATGTAGAGACAAAATTGATTGACTTTTTCGAAGTCGTACATTAAAGTAACTGAAACAGTGTAAATAAATTTCTAATCTGCCTAATAACTATACACAAAACCCATTAATACAATTCCAGTATAATATTTGAACAGTCTCTGGTTAGAGCGAGCGCTAAACGAGGCTTTACCTCGTTGATCTCGGAGCTTTCAAATGATCTACTTGATGACCGGCCGACTTGATGGATGAGATTTGAAAATTTGTTTGATTAGTTGCGCTTTGAGAATACTCATTAGTTTTAAGACGATAATAGACCTTTTTGTGTCCAATTTTATACTACTTAGGCAGTTGTAAGAAATAAGAAACGCTTTTATTTTGATTTTTTATCCGGCCAGGTGATATTTACCTTCGTATCAATTTAATGAATGGAATTAACATAATCGAATAAAAAACATCAATCGACATTACTTATTTTTGAAATAAACTTCCTAGATCACATTGAATTATTATAGATTTTTACAAAACATTAACAACCTCACAGAAACGTACCAAATAATGTTTACAATTTAACTTACACGTAGCGCCATCTACCGCCGGATGGAAATAACGATTAATTCTGAACTTTACAAAAGCACTGAATATACATAACACGCTATTTTTGATAAATACGTGATTTTTTTTTATTAAAATGATTAAGTTTAACTAGCTTTTGTTTTTGTAGTCAATTGTATCCAAAACTATGTTAGGTTGTAAAATAAGCTATGACAAAATAAAGCAGAATATAATAAGTAACTATATTTTAAAAGAAAACGTTTTTTTTTTTATCTTTCACGAGAATAATCAATCTTTTAAAAATTTAAAGATCCAACGCTCTAAGCGACGGGGTTCTATTTCCGATGTCTCTTTCACGCGGTTGATTTTAATCGGAATCAATTTGCCACGTTGTCGTTATTCACGTAGCAGAACCCCTCGGTACTGTGCTACCACCTCACCGCACCGCGTCCCCTACTCACAGCACTCGAACAATATGCTGAGTTGTGTCGCCGCGACTTCTAGCCTCCTCGCGACAATGTAATCGAGGGGGATGGTCTCCAATCGTTTGTCATCCTACCCCACTTGCACAATACACAACCAACGAGTTTCAACTCTAACGACTTTCATTCTAAGTTGAAATTCCCTTGCAATAAAATTCGCAAGCGTCATAAATTTTATGACATTTTAATACAGCCGTAACAACATAATAATAATAGGGTAAATGTTTTGGTAAGCCATAAATAAATGTAATTACATTTTGTTACAAACGACAGTTTCGCACGTTGCCAATTTTTTGTTTTGAGATTTGTAACGAATTGAAGTTTGAACAAAAAACCTATAGATACAAAAGAATCTTGCAAAGTCGAAACTTTTCATTACAATTTAGATCCCATCATATAAAACTATCCAGCTTTCTATTTAAAAAAAATTAAACACGAAAGCTTTTGTATTTACATAACTCGACGCTGAATAAATTTAACTGGCAACTCCGAGGATAAACATTGCTAGCACCTTGCCTTGTATTACAGTTGAGTGCAATTTTCAATTACATTGATGGTCCGTAGGCAACGTAGCCGGGGGCGTTAGTACACAGCAAAAAACAATGCGCCTGTTTACTTGCTCGAGTTAATAGGCCATTAGCCAAGTTGCCCAGACTCGTCCGTCTAGCACGCAACTTTTATATAAATAAACTAACGTGCTCTTATCGCAATCACATCGATAAGTACAAAATTGCTGACGGTGAGTTATGATTATTAAAGTATAACCTTTGTAATTTAAAATTTTATTAACATTCCATTTATAAATGCCAGTAGCATCAGTATTTTGTGATTAAAATGTAGCTTTACCCTCAGTACGATGAGTGTTATAGCTAATGATGATTGAAGATACACTGTCCTAAAAAAGTAAACTGCGAAAAATGGAGAAGATTCATTATTATTAATTTCTTCTAACAATTTGATTAAATGTACATTTACAAGTTAATTCACTGTAACCTCCAGAATCCAATTAAACCTTACAAAAACGTAACAAAGAAATATTCTACAGTTATTTGCACTTAAACACACTTTACTTTTATGCGATACTTTGCACTCGGAGTGCTGGTACGGCGGCGCTAAGTACATACAATAAATTTCTCGGATTTATACGAGACGAGCGCCATAAATATCCCACGAGCGAGGCTAAAGTGTGAAGTGTTGTTGGCGGTAATATCGCGCATACGTGCGGTATTTATTTAAGGGCCACTAAGTGAGCTCGGGCCAGCTCTGCGCGGAAATGGCCCAAAACTAATGCAAAGTACCGGCAATCTATCACCCTTACAGTGCTGCCATCTACATTCTGTTCAACAAGAGGTATGAAAACTAACAACAAAATTTAGATTCTCTAGCTAACATTTCCTTCGTGTCTTAATACGACCAGAGCAATGGTAACCATATCATACCACAAGGTGTTTAAGTTGTTTTTACGTTCTTAAGGAATCTGTATTTTATTTTTTTTACATTGCAATCTTAAACTGCTTAAAATAGTTATATGTGGTCAATGAATATTATAAAGCAGGCTTTAGAATCACCATAGAAAATGAATTCATGAAACATTTTCCTTGTTGAAGCGATATATCAAGTAAATGTAAAGCTAAGGAAAGCAAAAGAGCTAATATTTGCGGGCAGCGGAGTGGTTCTGGCGAGCCGGACAAATGTAGCGTAACGCCCGGAAATAAAGTAGAACGTTTTATTTTATTAAGATTGCTGCCAACGAAATGGTTTCTGAACAGAATTACTATTATTTTACAGATTAAAACAAATTTTCCTACTTCTTTTATATACATAAATCTATACATTTTTTACGAAAAAAAAACAGACAGATTTTAATGTGTTTGGTAGTTCACATAAAACTTCTACATTCATTAAGTTTGCAGTCCGTTTACATATGATGCGTGTAACACACGAGCAAAAACAAAATAATAGACAATAATTTTGTATACTCTTTACGCTCAACTGACAGGACAAATTTATTCATTAAATTGATGAGTGATGGTTACGTGCTAGCTGCACGAGCCCGCTCCGCTGTAATTATGTTGCATTAGCTTCCATTATCGCGTACGGCGCTATCAATTTAATTCAATGCCGTTTGAACAAACGACCACAGACGTAACGCTACCGTGTCATTGGTTTCCACTTTAGGAACACTATAACAAATATTATCTTATACCTCTCATACGTGTAAGAAAAACACAGATAATAATATGTTGTCCTAGTAGAAATCAGGGTTGTGGATTAGATTGTCGTATCGATTGTCTGTCAAAATGCCCGCGAGCGTTTTGGCGGGAAACCTATTCCCGCCAATCCGCCATATTTTCTCCTGTCAAACGAAATGCCATCTATGAATATTGAATGTGAAACACGATTGTAAATGCTGAAGTAATATGGTAAAAGGTCAATTTAGATTGATGCTACCCTTACGTTTTGACACGAATTGTCAAACTTTATAACTCAATTTTCTACAAATAATTCTATTAACTAGAAGAGTTCTGTCCATTTAATTGTGAGTCAGAGCTTTTTTCATTTTCATTTACTATTATCTAATTATTTCTTCTCAAAATTAAAAAAAAAAAACTATACAATGACCCAGGTTAATGTATATCTATATGCACTAGATCGACTGCACACTTATTAGGGAATATGACTACATTTATAAAATGTTACTCGCCACATAAAACAATAACTGACGCTTGGCGAAAGAAATTACTGCTAAAGTGTGTGCTACAAGGTTACAGGAATGTTCGCCTTTTATAGTCGCAAAAGCCTCCGAGGAGAAAGGAAGTGATGCGGTCATAACAACACAATAGCTTGTCCGTCTGTCCGTTGGTCATTAGCACTAATAACTCCATACTTGCCCTACAAGAATGTGAAATAACATAAAAACGTTGCGGTTTGCAACGGGCACTCTGTGCCGCCCTAATAATTCTATCAATAGGCGAATTGTTGCGGTCAATGTGGTAATCGCACGTCTGAACAAAATGTTTAAGTTCGTCTTGCACTTGCTGCAACAATTGACACAGGAAACGCTGTTAATTATAAACAGTTTGATGTAACCAAAAACTGTTCGAAGTTCATACTTTGACCTATCATTATTTTTTATTTCAATAGAATTGTATTTATTACCATTTATTTAGTATAAAAATTATGATAAAAGACTTGGGTCTTTCAGTACGTACGTATGTAAATCATTTAAAAATGCATGACAAAAGGTTCAGATGCTAACTGTAATGTAAAAAATTATTTTTAATTAAAAAGCTGAATTGTAATCGTTTCATTTTTACAAATTTGATCGTCACCATTCACAATATTTGTCTACTCAACAATAGATGGCTCTGCTCAACTTGTTCAAATAACGCTTCTCAAACGAGACAAAATAAAAATTTAAACAATGATTTATTTGATGATTGATGATTATTAGACTATTATTTTTAACGATTTGTTTTTATTTCTTTTCTTGCTTTTGTTTTATATTGTACTAGATTGTTTTATTTTGAGTAAAAGTCGTAGACGTCACTGTCACTGTCATATGTCACGCAACAGATGTCAAAAATCACGAATAACCCAATCCCAGGTTATTCAATATTTATGTATTTTTATGTTGTATTGTATGTAAGTTTAAATATTGTTGTGCAAAAGTTTATAGTACCAAAGACTGAAATTTACTCGGAAGCGACCATCAGTGGTGTTTTTATATTGTGAACAATTTCATTTGGAAAAATGTTATCACGATTTTCTACTTTACGATCCTTATTTAAAGTGGAAAATGTATTATTACTCAGGAGATACAGTTCCCAAAATACTATTAATTTGTCGGATCCAGCAGTCCAGACATTTCTTAAAAATTTAATGGTTGAACATGACAATTTACATACAAAATCACGACGAACCCTGGAAGAGGCGAAACGTCTTCAAGAAATCAAACCAATAGTGACTGTTCTTGATCAAAGGATTACGTTATTTGACAGCATCGAATCGCTAAAGGAACTAAACAAACGAGATGGTCAAGATGAAGAAATGCAGAAATTGATTAAAGAAGAGGCTCAATTGTATTTGAAGCATATCAAAGAAATAGACAATGAGTTGCAATCGATACTGCTCGAGCCTTATTTTACAGAAGGTGGTGTGATGGTGGAAGTTGTAGCTGGTGCCGGTGGACAAGAAGCCATGTTGTTTGCTAGAGAATTATTGTCTTTATATGAATCATATGCCAATTACAAAGATTGGGAGGTTGATATAGCATCTTTAGATGTGTCTGATATTGGTGGTATAAGAAAGGGGTCATTGCTAATCAATGGTCTAGGAGCTCCTGAGTTAATGAGAATGGAGGCTGGAGTTCATCGTGTCCAAAGAATTCCAGTAACTGAAAAAGGAGGTCGCATACATACAAGTACTGTGTCAGTCGCTGTCCTCCCGCAGCCAACTGAGGTAGAATTGAATATCCCTGATCGTGACTTGTCAATAGAAACGAAAAGAGCGAGTGGTGCGGGTGGCCAGCATGTGAACACTACAGACAGTGCTGTAAGAATCCTTCATGTACCAACAGGAACAGTTGTTGAATGCCAAGAGGGAAGATCTCAAATTAAAAACAAACAGATAGCTATGCAGAAATTAAGGACATTGTTACTTCAAAAGCAACTAGAAGAGCAGTCTAGTAAAATTAATTCTGAAAGGAAATCACAGGTTAGTATATATAGTATATAATTTTAATAATAACATTTATTATATATCTGAGAGTGTCAGTGGTTCAGTGGTATAAGCACTTGATTTGTAATCTACAGGTGTTGTGTTCGAATGAGATTTTCAATATTTCGAATTTTCATATGTACACAATTTACCCAATGTTCTTACGGTGAAGGTAAACATTGTGATGCAACCTGCACATATTGGCAAAGAAATTCTAAGATATGTGAAGTCAACCAACCCACACTTGCAAGCATAGTTGACTATGGTCTAGTCACCCTAACTTTAGGGTAGACACCGCAGCCCCTCTGTGGGGATGTATAGTGAGCTGGTGATTATGATGATATATCTTTTTGTATACAAGAAATTAAAAACAGCAAGTGTTGATTACAGATTTTTTTGTTATTGTTTTGTTTCTTGTACTAGCAGTTTTGGTCCCATATTTTTATGTCCATATTCCTTCTAAAATGCTAACTTTTTGTCATTGTCAAATGTAAAAATGCTCTGCTTAATATTTCAGGTTGGTTCAATGAATAGAAATGAGAAAATAAGAACATACAATTATCCACAAGACCGTATCACAGAGCACAGAGATGGTGGAGGAAGTTTGCACAATCTGAAAGGTTTTATGGAAGGTGGGGAACCGTTGGAACAATTACAAACATCCCTACTCAGACATCAAAGGTACCAAATTGTTATGGCCGAAATTAATGATTTTAATCAATACAAAAAAGAGACAGAAAACTAATAAAATAACTATGTAATTTATTGATCAATTAGGTTTGTTAATAATAAAATGTTATAGAATTAATTATTTTTTAATGATTTCTTCCCATAATCTATCAAGACAAATATTTAGTTGATGAAATGAAACTAATCAATAGGACAATGTATATTTATTTTTGTACCAAATGAACAATCACAATATTTAAATGGAATTTAATATAAGTTTTCTCTAGATTTATAGATAAAGACAATGATTTAAAAGATTTTATATTTATGAATAATATCTAAGTAAAATTCACATAACAAATGTAGAAATGCTTCAAAAACAAATATAAATTAGGATACATTTAAAGAATATTCCATCCCAGTTAATATTAAAAATGTGCCAGGACGGAAACAAAGATTAACATTATATTAGTTAATCTAATATGCAAATTAACATATAAACAAAAAATAAACAAATTAAGAAGTTGTGGTACAAATATAATATTCGTAAGATACGGGTTTCTTATCACGATTGCATTATTTAGCTGCCGATATTTCGGCATATTTACAAACACCAAATTCACGGCCTGACTGAAGTGATGTGTAGTCAAGGGCGAATCCAGCTTTGGCGCCAAGGAGGGTGGGGGTCACATAGTCGTGGTCAAGTCAAGAGCTTGACAAAATATGTAAATATATTTTGTCAATCTCTTGACCAACCAGCTCAGGGGGGGCCATGACCCCCCCTGCCGTTGTGTGTAGTGCTAAAACTGATCAAGGTAAGAAACCCGTATCTTACGAATTTTAAATCATTACATTTGTAAAAACCACGTCAGCTTAAAGTTGTACAAAAGCTAATATAATAATAATAATTAATTAATGTACCAATGTTTTATTTTAATTATCTTGTAACATTATCATAGAATTAATAATATCAATCTGATATGGTATATGGTACACAAGATATTTCTCTATGGCACCTTTGGAGGTTATCTATCGAAAGTGAGATTTAAAACTATCTACTCTTAATGATATGTGATGTCGACATGTTTAATTATCTGTATACTAAGTAAAAAGAAAAATCTATCAATTATCAACTTTTTAAAAAGGTACAGTCGAGGAAACTGGCAGTGTTCCTACTTAAAAGTTCGTTTGAACATTTTGAAACGAGACGCGAAACAAAAGACAATAAACCGCAGCTTATAAATGTGTTTGTACGAAAAAACGTCGGTTAGTAATACACAGCTAGTTTCTTTTTAATTTTATCTTCTTTTGAACAACTCATTGCTATCTAATTAATTATTTGTAGAAAGAAGCACAGTTTCTCTCGTAAAAACAAGGCAAAGTTTCCTAAAATGGAACATTGCGGATTGCCACGACTGTAATTTGACATTTCCTAAATAGACTATTTTAATTATTAACAAATTTTAGCGAATCTCTACTTTGATTTTATAACATGTCCATAAATTGCTAACATGCTTGTAAATATTGATTTTTTTATTATCATTTTTTGGTACAAATACTTGTTTATGTTTAATAACTATACAATATTAAAGTGATTAATGGTATCCAGAAGAAGTTCTTCTGAGGCTGGCTGCCGCGGCCGCACATGTCTATGTTACTCTCCTGGAAATACAAACATTGATGTCTATGAGATGGCTCAAATGTTCGCTCGCATTCGCGTGCATCGCTCAAAGTTTTTACGAGACAATAAACAAGGACTGAATATAATTAAATCAACTAAATCATATTTTACTATGATCAAATGATGATGTCAGTTCTACTTAGATAACTGCTGCGTACGTGTCATGTAGTCGCGAGTAAATCAGCTCACTTAGCATTGAACTGGTGAGCTGCGGCTCACCAACCAGTACCATATGGGCAATCTACTATAACTACAGTATGTCAGGTGACTTGTATGCACTCAAATCATTCATGGTGAAGTAGATCAGTGAACAATCTCTGATTTACTTTACCCAACCGTGGGCTGATCTGCAGATCATCTAATTTATTATCTAGATTCACATATATCTTACCTCAGTATGGTTTCTTATACACGATGTAGGCTGTCGTCTGTACAGCGGATGCTTATGTTTTAAACACGGCAGAGATTCATTGTACTGCACTTCTGATGGATCAATCGGCAAAATTGAGGCCTCAACCTTCGGGCACATCGCGTCAACGACTATCAATAACATATTTGTGTAATTCACCAGCTGAGCGTAGAATGGTCTCTCACAATCCTTGACAGGTCTGTTTAATTTCTCGTCTATGTTTTTGTATTCCAATTGATAGAGGAACATTTCTCGATCGCAAGGCGTTGGTCTTGTCCGGTTTATGAGGACCAACTTTTCGAAATCTCTCTCCATAATTCTCGAAGGTTGTCGCGACATGTACGGGTCATCGGTATCCTCATCGTTCTCGTAGTTCTGGTATGCGACTGTAATAAAAATAATTTTAGACGAAAACAATAGAAACTTTTCAGTTATGCAGGTTAGGGCACTAAAAAAATGTTTGACCTTTGATTAATTATATTGGTATACATATTGTCTATATATGTGACAAAAAATTCTTATAAAGCTGAAAAAAAAATACTTTTTTCCATTTGCTAAATAATTAATCTAAGGTATTTGTAATGTCGTGTAAATTATTTAAAAATGATGACAATCTTGATATTCTAATAAAATAATACTTATAAATTACATGTAGTAAAGAGAATAAGACTGCCATTCAGCAAAATATGTATGTGAAGACGTTCCTTGAAATTCATGCTTTAAATGTTACAGTACGTAATGAACCGCGCCTTTTGTAAAATACAAGCGAATTTGACGTACTCAAGACAAAGCTGCCTTCAAATACTCACCCTTTATATATATCACAGAAGCGACATTGAATACATAAATTACATGCAATTATGTAACTACATTGTTACGATGATGTCATAATATATAGCGCAAATAATTTTCTTCATGTCTTATGAATGACGGAATAACTTATCAATATATATAATAAATTTGAGGGTAATTTAAACATTTTTATATACAATGTATGACGATCTCGATAATGATTTAAAATTTGTTTGAGGGTAGTTAAAGAATAGGCATGCGCATTCAGGAACCATATCTACGAGGCGAATATTGAAATCCAAGTACTGGATTAGATCAATAGTGTGCCGTTAGACGACGCTAGTGTGCTCAGTCTAAACTCACCGGTGGGTGTTACATACTCTGAAAACAAGATGGAGCCGTTACTACTTTATTATACACATAACTACGACCAATAAATGACTCCATATAATTTTGATATCAACTAAATTTTCCAAATGTATTCGAGTGCACTCACATGCACCCATTGTACATGTATTGATATATTTTAAATTCGCAATAAAATACAGTGCTAAATAGTTAAATTTGTAAATTATCTCCCATTTTTACCTCATAATTTTTGTAATTGTATAAAAATCTGTTTAAAATAACTTGCATAAAATTATTTTTCAACAAACATTTCGACGCAGTCTAAATTCTAACAATTTCTTAATTCATAGCAAGTGAACAGTTAAAGACTTAGATACAATAATATCTATGAAATTAAGCTTATATTTGTCTATTATATGAGCATAGTGCTCCGCCCTGTCATGCAAATTGCACAGAACATGCTGACAATGCTCAAGAGCAACATCGATCGCGAATTTTCTAGAAGGTATAGTTGGAACACATATAAAATTTTAGCTTCAATTCCAATTTTTAAAAATCGAATTCCGTTGTGACGTCATCAAATTCGGATCTAAACAACTAATTGATTTTGGAATGCTTGAATTAGATTTGTAAAAAGTAAATTGAAGTTAAAAACCGTTACAATTAATTTTGATATATCAGTAACATAAGTTCATCTTACCGTCATCAAAGGAGTAGCTCGAAGCCTGAGCTAAAGTTGAGGTAATCGAGTTGTATGTCCAGATTGTAGTTGTAATAAACCATGCTAATATTAAGCGCAGGTTTTCTAAGGGCTGAAAATATTTCATTGAGATTAGAATCACAATATTACATACAACAATTGGCCTTGGATCTTCTTGTATATCTAGCAGTCAGTAGAATAAGAGCAAGAAATTCTTTGTAACTTATCACCAGCTTCTTTCACTGCTGGACATAGGCGTCGCACAGTATGCGGTCTTCCACATTCAGAGACATTCTGCTTTATATGACTTACCGTTATTAATATCGAAGCTGGATTGGTGATGTTCTTCTCGCGGAAGCAAACCGCCTGGTAGTCCACGATGTGCACCGTGCGGTACACCTCGTCCTCCACCAGACGCAGCATGATGTCTGGCCTGAACTGCACAATTATGTTTAAAATTACACACAATTGTCTACTTAGCAGATACAATATTTTCTTCCTAACAAAGAACAACCGTACTTTTCCAAAGAACTGTCCGGTCTGCGAGGGATCCTCGCTGACGATGATCCAACCGTTGCTGTCAACCAGGTAGCAGTCCCAGTTGTCGGACAGGCAGGTCACGCACTCCTTGTTGTGTTCACACTGCAATACAAATTATGTAAAAACAATGCAGGTAAGTTCCAAGTTTTCAAGACGATAGCAATCCTTGTTTCTGTTGTCACTTATAAAACTATCGTACTTAGTGAATGTGCCCAATATACTAACCGATGAGGTGATATTCTCAAACCATTCGCTGAGTCTTTCATGTTTGAACTGAAAGCCGACAACGGCTGCGGGTGCTTTGCGGTGTCCGTCGCCGTGAAGCACAGCGTGCGCGGCCGTTACAAGTGCTGCGCTCACGTTGAGCGGGGCACGTGGCGTGCTTAACGGCACGCTGTACACGTAGCTCAATGGTTCAGCGTAGTGTTGTTCAACCGCTCGGCGGTACCATACTTCGTCTATCGCACGAGGGAACTGCTTACCAAATTCCGGCCTTAAAGTAAATAAATAAATATTGCTTTATTGGGTAAAGAGAGCATTCTTTGTTTTGTTTGTTGACTCACTTGTCGGGTTCCTGTTCCCTGGGCGGGTGTGTCTGCCAGCGCGTTAGGCCGCTATGAGTCGCGAGGAACGCCACTATGTAGCCGAAACGTTGGATGAATTCCGCCCTACGGACAAATGTATGATGTTAATATTCAAACCAAATATTTATTTAAAACAACAATACAATTATTTTTACTTCTAACTTTCTATTTACTAACGCAGTCATCGATCACATTGTTGCAGTTAGTTTTATTACAATAGGTAAATTTTGCCTATAATACACACGTTTAAAAACTAAATTTTTAATTCTACTTGTAGTATATACTTACACGATTCCTCAAGCTGCGTCGTTATTAGAGTTTTAACATAATAGTATTATTCTGTACAACTTACTTCCATGGTTGCTCAAAGTAATCACAAACAGTATTTCACAGGTACTTTAGTATTTCTTAAAAATCTAGATAGGTTATAAATTTATAAAAAAAAACACATCGCTCTTCCATATTTAGTACAAATTTTGTAAGTCGTTAGGTTTATTCGATTTTTTATACTATTTTAAAATGCTAAGCATTTTACAGGATGTTCAGAAATGACGTACAAAAAGATATCACAGATCGCCAATAAAACAAATTAACCCAAGGAATATGTGGTACTTATAATCATCTTTCCAAAACAGCCTGTATAATACAATATCAACTTTTAAGTTTTATGTATGTTAAATTAAATTATTATTAATTATTTAATTTTATAGACACGTTAATATTGTTTCACAGGCATGCAGTATTTGTTGTTGTTCAGTAATACTTTACCTCGGCAATAATCCGATCACTTTTGTCAATGGGCTATCCAGGCAAGTTAACATAAATTGGTGCAAAGTGAGTTATGTGTGTTGAAAATAAAACGTGCAGTGATAAATACAATAAGTAACCTAACGATTTTCTTTATTTTCGATATTCTAGTCTCTAAAATGTAGTATGATATACCAAAATGGTTTGTCTGTATACTCGGTTTTCGGAAGATATTTAACGATGCAAAGAAATCTTTACAACACAATGCAGATCTTCTTTGAGGTAACATTGAAAGTTTTTTTTTAACCAGAGACAAGGTCCTTTAGGCCAGTAATTTTCTGCATAAGTCTTTGATATGGTGTTTCCCTCCTTTTTTAAAATATAATATTTGGTTGCCTCCAAAAGGTTTGCTCTAAATGATTATAGAAAATTAAATTTCACTTACGCTTTTTCATCTGACGCCGAATCGGAAATGCTCTTGTTAAACCAGGCTGTGTTTCTTGCGTCGTACACCAAGGCTTGCATCAGTCCGTGATCGCCTAGAAATTATAGATATAAAGCTTGTAATAAACATTATGGAAAGGAAACTAAGATTAGATCTCCGGTAAGCACAGTTTTTCGAAGAAACGACAAATTCCACAGTGTCGTGGTATTTGGTGTTCGTCCATTGTGGTCGTGGTATTGGGCGAGCCTTCCCATTCGTGCAACTGATATTGCTGGTGTCTACCACTGTTTGCATTTTGTAATAAGGTGAACAAAAATATATTTTAATGAAATTCTTAAACATGGTTTGTTACTCACAATAATACTCCACCCTTGGAGTTGTGTTAGATGCTTTGTTCCTTTCCTTGGCGTCCGGAGTCCCTGTTAAATTTAATGTTGATTTACAATCGAAATGAAATCGGCCCAGTAGATTTTGAGTTATATGAATTCATATAATACAAAAATACAAATCATTCCTGTGTATTATATTAATAGTCCAGATAAAGAAATCAGAGTTAAGTGCACTGTTACCGTTTGTGTGCTTTTCATGTCCAGGTTTATTCTTGTGGTGTTCAGGCGGGCGTGGTTTCGCAGGCCAGCGCCAGCCCGGCTTTGCCACCCGCTCCAAGAAATACAGCAACTCTTCCTCCGGTGTTGCGAAATTACGTTCGTAGTGTCGACAATACAACCTGGATAATTATGTTGGAAGACAATCATCAATCAATGCACTTCTTGCAGGAATATTGGGGGTGAGTAAATAATTTTAATGGCTGCATGATCTTAATACTATCTACTAAGTTGTGAATCGTAATAAGATGGAAACATCTTTCTCTAGCTAACTATTTAATCATCCTCTTCCCTAGATTATCCCGATTATAATATAGCCTATGTTACTCAGAGATAATATAGCTATCTAATAAAAAGGAAAGAAGATACAAAAGTTTTTTGCAATCGGCTTAGGAGTTTTGAAGCCTATTTAGCGACAGACAATCAAATCTTTCCTGTATTCAATACTTTATTATTTTAATTATTATTATTTAACTTACCAGTCAGGATGCACGCTCCATTTATCAGAGAGATATTGTCTAGCGGATATATTTTTAGAGGTGAGTGATAATCGATGTATGTCGTCGGTAGGTGGCGGGGTGACGCGATGGCGGCCGTAGCCCTCGGGGATTGTCACCACCAGGGTGAAGGGAGAGTCGCTGATACCGGTCCAATACATGTGTCTTCTTGCGCGAGATACCCGTTTCTAAAGTAAGTTGGAATTTTAGAAACTAGCTATGTATTTAATCAATAAATTAAGAAATGTTTTCGAAATATATCGACAGTATATTATATTTTTTATACATAACTTACCATGTCATCCAAATGATATTTAACATTCATAGCTTTGTTTCCTGTCTTTTGATCAATTATTTCTTTTCTCAACTGCAATTAAAACATGTTAATAAAATAATATAACGACATCAATAATATGAAATAAAAAAATGTTTAGCAACACTCACCGCGGTCAATTCTCTGCTAAAGTTTCTCGGACCTCGGTCGTCGTCGAATAATTCAATTTCTAACATGTCCACGCTGTTGTAGCTCGGTTTTAAAATTTGCTGAAACTGTACAAAAAAAATTACGATTAAAAAGTTAATATTTATGACCCATTAAATTGATCAAAAAATAGTTATTCAACACTAACCACGGGCCGTAAATCCGGATGAATGAGCACATAGCCGTTGTTGGTCACAATAAATGCGTACCCGTTCACGCCGATCTAAAAATGATAAAACATATCAGTCACGCCCTAACTAAGATGGGTAAACAGAGATTTGAAATTATGATTAAGAGTAGTATATAATTGTTTTGTTCTTAAAACATCTTGATAAATTAGATCTTATTACCTATTTTTGACCAACTTCCCAAAAGAAGGAGGTAGTCAATTTGTCTGTATGATTTTTTATTGCTTTATAAAAATACCTTGTATGGAGTCATCAACGCTTGTATTTCCGAAAGTGGCACATCAGTTCCTGCGACGCCCAAAAGCTTTGCAATTCGCATCTGTAAGTGTTAATAATCGATTAAAAATTGTTCAAACAATCTATTCAACTATTCTAAAAACTAAATAAAATGATTTATCATCTCTTTTATACATTTTCTATGTTCCATGATAATACTTATAAATATCTAATCATTTGTTAATGATTCATTTTAGGAATGGATCCTAGTGTCAGCAGTAACACTATCTACATGATTTCTCGGTCACATAATAAATCTACAATATATAATAATTATTAAAAACGTTTCTTAATTAATTTCTAGCAATATTTTATAGCATCTACGCCCCGTTAGATATCTATAGACATTACAATTATAAAACTACATATTTCCAAGGATACTAATTCGTTGTTTGTAATTATAGGATTCTAGCAAATCTACTCAATCAAAAAATTAAATATCATATTATATAATAAAATAACTACATTCGTATACCCAGTACTGAACTCACTAGTATTGTTGTTTTGTTAGGAGCTTCATTGATATATCCTTGTAAGAAAGTGTCAAAGTTATACAATTTGATTACACATATTAAATTGAAGATTCATAGAAGTACACGAAATGTGAATAAAAGTGCTTAAAGAATTGAAAATCAGTCATGTCAGGACTAGTGTTTACATTACTTTACAATTTATTTTACAAAGGATTTATTAGATAGTTTTAAGTTTTCAATTTTTAGTATAATTTATTCATTCCCAATTCCCTACTCGTTAATTTAATCAAAAGAGAAATTTAAAAGTCTGATGCTCCTTAACCAATTACAATTTAATGATTTTTCGAATTTAGAATGCGAATAATATTTATAGTGTAAAACACCAATAATAAACATAATAAAATAAAAGTCCTGTTGTACAATCAAGTAGCACACTCATCCGTCCCCAGGCACACTAGTCTATGAGAGCTTTGGCCTACCTCTTTCTGGCCGTTCTCCTCTACGGACTGCGATTGGTTGTGGACGAACGAATGCAATAAAATATAATAACATATAGATAAATGCATTGTAACAACCTGCTCTAGAAATCAAAATGTCTCCTCCATCAGTGAGAAAACTTATATTTACACTAAATCGTCAATATATTATGAAAAGTCATATCATTCGAAAGAATACAAAAGTCGTAATAAGTAAAACTGAACAGGATACTCAAGTAAAAGCCCCATACAAGTCTTATTTTGGGCTGCACGATACATTATTAAAAATATTTACATTTACTTCTTGTAACAAGTCAATCTTCAAAAAAATGTCTCTACAAAGACATTACTAAATTCAAGCAAAAGATACTTTATTGTTTATTAGAAAGTGTGTGTAATATAGATTATGTTTCTTGCACGGAAATAATTAACTTGATATATGATAGAAAAGTCGATCATAACACCCTAGTGGTCTACTCCTACGATCTATTAGAAACTACAACACTACAGAAAGCCAAAGGGTGGAACAACACAGGGCCGGCCGCGGGCCGCGTGGGCACTGGGCTCTGGGCGTGGGCTGTGCGGCCAGCACGGGCGGCGCGGCGCTGCCGCGGGCCAACATCTATCGAGGACAGATGCATTGCTAACGGGGCCAAATAAGACTTTACCGTTACTGAAATTCAAAAAAACTAAATCATAAAAACTTTCTCGTATCTTGCAAAAACTTTACATTAAAATCATCAAAACTGACTAAGTGTAGTACCTCTTTTGTAACTGATACCCAGTAAGCTTCATTTATCAGTACATTCTCTGTGATGTTCTGAGGGAAACCATTAAACAAAACTGATTATTATTAAAAAGGCACATCATTACACATTTATATAAAAACAGACAGTCGTCAGACATTAGCGGTTAACAGTGGCTTTCTCCCAATAAGATAAACCATAAAACCAATCAGAGGCATATTGATTCTTTCAAAAATTTAAATTAACACAATAATTTAGGCATGCATAATTAAAATTTTTGAATTTGGAAAACATTCACAATGACAGTTTGCAATTAAGAGCACATAGAACAACATCGAGAGATCAAAAGCACAATTATAGATAAAATGTCGGGCCATTATGGAGATGTTGCCCTATGCCCTAATTATACACATAATAGAGATATTAAGACTTAAAAAACTCAGTAACTACATTTTATTCGTCGAACTCACCTCGTTATGTCGCAGATCGTAGACTGGCATGGAAACCGAAGTCATAAGTTGGTACTGGGAGTCACCCAGTTCGCTGTACTGACCTTGCTTCATCTGTTAAACAAGTACAGTATACTAGTAACATGTAAGTACTAATAACATTAATTTACCTTGGCTTCGTCAATAATCGATACATCAGTTTTGTTATTATACCTGTGTGATCCGCCACCTTCGATCCTGTTCTTTCTCAGAATTAAAGAGAACCTTGTCCCTTTTCTGACTGAGGAAGCGTTCCTTTTGCTCTGCTCTCTCCCGTTGTTCCCATAAGTAGTCTGCAACCTTCGGATCCTATTCAAGTGAAAATTATTTAATTTCAAACAAGAACATATTTTAACCTTATTCGAAGGTAGACTTAAACGAAGTATAAAATTACCTAGTAAATAAAATAATATTGACAAAATAGTGGTGTTTCAAAAGTTCTATATTTGTACTTACAGTAATGTTAGCATAAACAGGTGTCCAAACGACTGGATGCTTCTCTCTCTGCAGTACCAGCGGCCGAGCTAACACGTTGACATGCTCCAACACGCGTTCTCTCACCTCCGCCAACGTGCTGAGATGCACGTAGAACCCGCGATTCGCGCAAGCCATCCACTTCACTTCCCTCACATCTGCTACCTGAGTACACATCACTCAGAACTCATAACTCATTAAAATATAAACACTCATAAATCATAACTTCTGACTCATAAAAATTATAACTCCAAACTCAATAAAAATTATAACTCTTAACTCATATGTCAGTAATAAATTGTCATTTGAATATCTAAATAGTGTGGATATTTCGCAATGTTAATCGACTGCCTTGTGAATAAAGAAGCCGTTTGTTAAATCAAAAATTGTAAATTAAATCTCATAGCGCATATCTATTTGCCTACTTTTTTATTAATTTTACAAGTAGTATAGTAACAACTTTAAAGTAACTAAAAATTTAAAAGTAACTAAAACCAATGAAAAACTATTTTAAAACCAGATTTAGTGGGTACTATTATCTAACAGGAACTAGTAATGACCATTATCACTAAAATAAAATATAAAATCGTAGTGTTAGGTTGATATAACTTTAAAGGTCTAGTGAAAACGGACATTAAAATGTTAATAATTTTATGAGTTACGTCACAAACGCTGTCAATATTAAAATGATTATGAAATCATTACTGATCATTTTTTCCTTAATACCACAGTGTTGTCTAATAACCCATACAATTACATTCAATTTTAAGAAAAGAGAAATGAATCACAAACAGTAACATTACAGATTAATAACAATCAGACACTCCAACGTTACAAAACAGTACAAAAAACCACTAACTAAAACTAAAAGCAAAAGCAGTATGATGATGGAGATAGGACAACATACTTAGTTATAAGCAAGATGTTCATGCAAAGGTTAACTTGTGTTCTAAAACGTGGTAATGCGACTAGTGCGTTGCAGTTGGACGAAGTTGTCCATGATAATTTTATTTTGTAGTCTATTACGTTTTAACCATAATCAGTCACGCTGTGTCGCGTTACGTCGTCTAGGACAAAGTATTAGTAAAAAGAATAGCAGAAGAGAAGAGAACAAGTGAGCACCACATTCAAGGTTACTGTCGGAAGAATAAGGAAGACATTATGCAGGTCGCACAATGACTACGACACGCAGTAATACCTGGAGTGGTTACTACCTTTACCTCGCGCCCTATCAGGTACGTAAACACGCGCACAGGCGTGTCGTACTTCCAGTTGAACTCCTCGAAGATTTCCTTGTAATTGTACGGTACGCCGTCAGTAACCAGCATTATTGCCTGAAATATTGCATAATATCATTCTTCTCGTATCCTATATTTACTAAATCAGAAATCATTTGAATCAGACGTACCTGATTACAATTCGCACCGCCGCTATTATTTCTATACATTTCAAGAAGCGTAAAAGCTCTCGTTAACGCCGCGGAAAAATTTGCTATTTCTGTTGTTTCGAAATTATCTAATGCTAACTTTAACTCCCGTATATTTCCTAGAGTTGCCTATAAATAGTACGAAGAAATATTAATACGAAGTTATCTTTAGAAAATGTGAGTTAAAGAAAATCTTTACGTACCTGCACTAAGGAATCATCAAAGCATTCAACAATTTCCTCGACTGTATCGGCGAATGTCATGACATTAACAAAATCATTGTTGCCCAATGTATCTAGAATGTTGGTGACCACATGTTTGGCGATGTCCCGCCGCTGTCCGGTCATAGATCCGCTGCGATCGACTAATACGACCACATCTTTAGGACTGGCCGCTGCCTCCATATACCAGGCTCTCGTTCGACAATCATAAATATCAACAGGGTCTGCCCTCCATTTCATTGCTACGAAAATATTCAAACACTTAAGATGAATAATAAAAAAAAATGAAAATTTGATCTTTGCAAAAATTACCAGGATAATGCCTCATAAATCCGGACGAACTGCCGAAATATTGCCAAGAAAGTGTGGGATCACTTTGATAATTGTTTATGAAATGCGTATCCAATCCCTCCGACCAATGGATACCTTTGATGACTTCGGGCGCTAAAATACACATTGCGTCTTTACTATAAAAACATATGCGAGTTAAAATATTGTTGTGGTGAAATGCTAATGCACAATAATACGAGATTCACGTCAATCATATACATGCGCCATTCACGGTCTCACCCACCCGTAGACGTTTGTACAGATAACAACGAACCTTCATTAATCTTGTTATTACACTACGAGTACAACTTTCTAGAACGCTAATATGGCCTCATTGAATCATTTACGTGCACGATAACATATTACTTTTGTTTTAATAATTGTAATGAATACACTTACCCCAGGCATAAACATTAGTAGGTACGTGGACACTAGTAAAGTTAATATTCACCGGTATATTAGAAAAATGTGGATTCTGTGCCATATGGGCACTTTTACTTGGAGGACGTACTATCCAGTTTTCTAGATTAAAATCGGGTTCCGGAGTTGTAGTTATCATCGTCAATTCGTCGTATGGTTCTTCCATTTCTTTGCTGTTATAGAATTGGAAGTCCTCTGGGACTACTTCATTTTGTTTATCGAACGCCATGTTCTCAGCGGCCTCTACGATTCTTTTGACTGCGCTGATTTTTAACTCCATCATGGCGCGGATATCGTCCGCCATACTCTGTACTAACTTCTCGCCATCTCTTGATTCAATTTGGGCCGATTTAAAACTCTAAAAGAATATGCAATAATTATAAATAAATAGGATTATAACAGACCTCAAAGATACAATTTGAACAATCATTGTGTGTTTTTTGATAATACGTGTAAGTACTGTATGGATTTTAAAAGATGTTTTTTTTATCTTTCTACTTGAATGAATCACCAGCAGGGGTGCTACTGGAACTCCTGCAGATTTCCATCTTGGAAACTCAAATTACGGATGCTACGAGTAATTTAACATAAAGTGTATTTATTTTTCTCAAACTACTTACATCCTGGACTTCTTTCTTTCTAGTGATGAACTCGCCGAAGTGGTAAAGCTCTGTACCAAGCTTGACAGCCCAGGCTTGAACACTACAATACACAAATAACCATGAACATGTTTCTCAACATTCATTACATCTCTCAATTAAGCTAAAAATACGTAACAACAGCACCAGAATGAAGTTTTAAATTAAATTATGTTGTTACTGTTGATTGGTAGGCGTATAAAAATAACTATATATGTTATATCTCATTTATAATTTATTATTTTTAGAGTAGGAATTAAAGTAATAATGTCTTTGTTGTAAATGGAACAAACATGTTTTCAAAGTGATTGAAAATTGCTTCTGTTAATTGACCTAATTATATTAGTAAAAACATTTTATAATTACCTGTTGAGTGATATTTTGTTAACAGTATCATATTGTGCACTCGCCGTACAGTCCCTGGAGTCAAGGGATATGAGGAATATTAACAACACAAAACTTCCAATGCGGTGGAACATCAGAAACACTATAATCTAATTTGGCCCCCTACACTTGTACGTTTAAGATAATTCCACGGTCATTTTATGAAACGCTCAAAGATTGCTTGTACTAATCGAATGTTGAATTAAGATAAAACTGGGAGCTTTGGTGTACACCCAAATTGATAAGAACGTGACCGATGGACCAAGGCGCAGTCGCGGTGTGGTTACCGCACATGCGCTCTTCTCCACTCCTACACTTCAACTGACGCTATCGCTACCGCGCAATTCGGCTACCATTAGTACATTAGTGTGTGCGTATTATCTTTGTATGTATTGTAACTTTTACTTGCGGTTTCACTATAGGTACGGACAGGAATCGATTTATTCGTTATGCCACTAGGTCAGTGTTGCAAGGGTGTTAACAATGGGAAATAACAACACGGGGTAAAGGTAAATAGCTTTTATTGCGAAAGTAAGAAAGTTACAAATGCGTTGCACGTGGGTATGTTATTATCGCAGTAGCATTGCTGTGGTGACGAACGCGATTGTAGCAGATAGCATGAACGCTGGCGGGTCTACGCGGACTATACTGCCGATGCCACACGCTGTTATGTTCCTTTCCTGAAAACATATTGTACAGTAAGATTAGTAGTAGGACCTGTAGGACCTGTCAGAAGTCGGTATTACTTTTTTAACCTTCACGAAATTAAAAAAAAGCACTCGATTAAAAGAAAATGAGGATGCTTTTATATTATGCAAATATAAATATAACCCAATAGACGTATTGATTTACATCAGTAGTGAGATCTCTTTTACTTATAAAATTTATATTACGAGATTTTACTCTTTATGTTATAAAATTTATTAAACCTTATCATGATACGTAAAACAATCTTCGAGTCGTCGTCTTGGCAATTGACCGAGTTCCAGTTTGTGACACGGAGCCCAATTGGTGGTTGAGTTAGATGTAGCCACTGGTTCTGTATCTGGAGGCTTCTCACAGGTGTCCTTGTAGTGCCAGGATCCTCTCTCCACAACCACAAGGAGTAAGTTGGTCTTCGTAACCAATGCCGCCCAGTACGGGGGATGACAATCTCCCTCTTCATCTTCCACTACAGCTGGCGATGGACCAATGGAATCCAAGAAGTAACTCTGGTTCAGAATATAAAGACTGATGCGATGATCACAGGAGAATAGACTGCTATCATCTTTATTTTTACTTCCTTCTATATCTTCTATTTCCTCTTCTACTGGTGGAATTGTTGTACCTGCGTTGACGAAGTTCAGTTGACGTAATAGTTAATAAAGATCCGTATTTCATCAAATAATAACAAAATTAATATGTATTGAATAACTGACCTTCGTCTTGCCCAGAAACATATACATCACTTTGCCAATTTACAACATCAAATAGTATCAAAAATAATTCTGCTGTCAACCATCTTATGAAATTTGTAACCAAGTTGAAGGGCTGAAAGAAAACGATCTTTAGTAAAATCGTAATAAGCAAGATCAATTTAAAATCTAATTGGTCATTTTAATAAATAAAAGAACACAATTTAAAAATTATAAAATTCCGTACCGTACTAAATAGCCAAGCGTTACTAGGTATATCAGGTAAAGCTGAGAGCGGACACAAGGCTTGGTAGTTGAAGACGTCGACGTGCTCATATATGTTCTTGTCAATGAAAGACTGAAGCACGTGAGGGTGAATCGTGCCGAAGAACCTTCCGACGTCGGCATTGTCATGCGCCAATACAACGTAACCTGAACTGTCTATGACGTAACAGTCATACTTCTGGTCAGTGCATGAGAACTCCTGTGAAAGAAACAAATATAAACTATAATGATATGACATAAAATTGTCCTATTACTGTTTGTTCTAGGTACGCGAACTGTAAATTTCTAAATATTGTTTGTATTTGATACGATTGAAAAGGTTAACTAACGCTCGTTGTGTTGGTGATTTCCAAGAACTTCTTGTAGAAGCCGGAATAAACGAACTGAATTCCAACAACCGAAGCCGGTGTTTCTGAGTTGCCATCCTTGTAGAATATGGCGTAGCTCGCTGTGATAGTGATATCACCATCTGTGTTGGCAACTTTCGGTTTGTTGATGATTGTCTTATCGAGAACTGGCAAATTTGTAGCCACTACTAACGACTCCGCATTGATCAAGTGCTGCAGTACGGCCGCTTTGTACCAAGTCTCTTCGATAGCTTTTGGGTAAAGATCACCGAATACTCTGCAATTAGAAGTATGAAGAAGTTATTATGAAGACAGTTACTCTTACGTTACTTTACGTTAATCAACTGATATAAAAATACATACTGGCCGTCAAATGTTCTACTTTTTTCTCCTTGTTCTGTGACCTTCTCGTTCTTAGAGTCATCATTGATGTAATGCCATCGTGTAAGGCCACTAGATGTCGCTATAAAGCGCACATTGACTTTGTACTCATTCGCCAACTTGCGTTCCTCGCTCGTCGCGTGCCACGTGGCAAAGTATGGTGTGGTCAGCTTTGCGTCGAATACCAATTGTTTCACCAAATCCTCATTGCAATAGTAGTCGTCTTTACCTAGTTGTTCTCTTTCATCTCCACAGTGCTCTAAAACGAAATATTGTGTATTAGGAAAAACATTGCTTTATTTGTGCCTTATTATGGTAAATACCTAATAACTCACTATCAAAATCGAAGGAGCTACTCTCAGTCTCTTCGCGGTATTGTTTCTTCGTAATGTTAAGCTCGTTCTTGGAAATATTGACTAAGAACTTATACATCTCGATTTCCGAGTTTTCTGACTCGTGACCCTCCAGGTAATGGTATTTACAATAAACCCTGGAAACAACAGTAGTTTTAGATTTATGACGTACGATAGGTTATGATATTACGATAAGCATACCCCTGACCTATACAGGAACTCAAAGCCAATATTCATTTTCTGTGTTGTAGGTGTTGGAGGTAAAGAGTGGGACATAGAGAGAAATAGCGAAATTGTTCGTTTAGTGAAGTTTAGTTTCATACTCACCAATCAGGATGTACTCGGTAACTAAAATTAAAGTAGCTGGTAACATTAATGCCGGTGACCTCAAGGCCCTGCTTGGCCTCCAGTGGATTATCCTTGAGCAGCAGTTCAGTGTCGCCGTAGCCTCCGGGCAATGAGATGCCCATAGAGAATGGCGTGCCTACCAGCTTGTTGAAGAAGTAGTCGTGCTTCACACGAGCTATGCGCCTGTATTAGTTACAAAATAATACATATAATTGATAAGAGAGACGTTAAACGTAGATTATAATTTATATCAGTTCATACCTCATGTTGTCGTAATGGAAGAGTACTTTAACTTCAGTCTGTTTCCCCTCATCGCCATTGACGAGGTGTTCCCTGAGGGACTTGATTTCAACGCCGAGTTCACGTGGGCCTTTGCCGTCGTCCACCTGCTCCACCTCCACGAAGTCCACGCTGTTGTAGTTTGTTTGCAGGTTGCCGTTTATCTACAAACAAAGTTGATTCACCGGACTGATTGCACATTTCAATATTCACAAAAACACATACGAATCGAGTGACACTCTACTCTATTCGATATTAAATATCTCAGAGTAGATTTTAAAATTAAAATTTACATTGTGAGTAATGCAGTACTACGCCGTAGCACGAAAATGCGTAGACAATACGGATTGTAGACTTTGGAATAATCTTGTGAAGTTAAAGTTACTATAATGGTATTTTACAAGATCCATCTTAGTTTAAAAACGTCGAAGCTGTCAGAGGTGAGTGTAATGAGCGATAACCTAATTAGTATGAAGTTTCATGGAATCGATTGGCCAAAATTAAAAATAACCTTGTAATGAAAGTTAATTATGTTGAATATAGATAAAACTTACAGACGTAATTAGAAGTGGATGCAGCAGCAAGTATCCGTTATTGCTCACGATAAACGAATATCCGTTGACGCCGAGCTGAAAACGAAAACTTTTTTTTAATTACTTGTAATGATTTCCTAAAAAGTCGTGCTCTTGTGCGCAATTTATGATTAGGTAATAATTCTATTTGATTCGAGGTCGGATTAATCATACGAATATATGTAGGAAATTAGTACCTTAAAGAAATGTTTGGAATAATTTTTAACAGGAAAGTCTAAATATTTCGGCCTATTGGATAACAAAAAAAACGTTAGATTTTTGAATAATTTACTAGAAAAGACTGTTGATGATTTCTTTAAATGTGTTTTTAATATAAAAGCCAAGTATTACCTAACTTGAAAACATTTAGAAATAGCCGTGCAGTATTTTATGCCAGGTAACAAAGAGTTACAGCCGAGTGAAACAAAGTAATTGAATAACAAATGTGCGAGTTTTTGGAGCTGCCTTCACTGGAGTAGCACTTCAACATTTTATTATTCCCGTGACAATAGTAACAAAGAAAGCATAGTAGAATATTATTCTTTGCAAATATTGCGTGCTATAGGAACATCGTAACTTAAAAATAAATTACAGTTATCTTGACAGGGCTTTGTATTTTTGTCTAGTTTTGTACATAAATTTTGTTTTAGTAAAAAATCTTTCTCATTTCTGTATTCGTAATGCAATTTTCGTGCATACTCATATAAATATTTTGATAGCATCTGTAATTAATTTGTTACGGTTTTTTAAAGACACGACTAAAGATTTTAAATTTAATACTAAAGATTCTTATTTTTAAGTAGACCGCGATTGCTGCCAGTTACTGCCATTACAGGGAGTATGGTATACGATATACACATTGTATTAATCACTTAGGGATAAAGGGCTTACCTGGTGGGGCTGCGCCAGCTTCGCAATGCTATCTATTGGTACATCTGTCCCCGCCACACCCAACAGTCTCGCGTCGTTGTGGTCTTCGTTGTATTTGTAGTCGAAAGCCGGGATCGCCACTGACGTCACAAGTTTATCTTCGTCAGGCTAACAATCAAATTTTGAATTAATTTTAACATATAACGATTATCTACCTGGCAATATAACAATAAATTGACTTACCTCCTTTGCGTCAATGCTCACGTTCCACTCAGAAGTTCTCTGTCGGTAAAATATGTAAAGTTAAAAAATCTAATATCTGGATTAGAGTTAATGTCGATTTATAATGTGAAATAGGGTTCGTAATATTTTTGTTGTTTTGAATGTATATATTATATACCGTGTAATCTATGGCAGCGTGTGTCCAGGTGGGGGGCGGCTCCCTCCCCTCTAGGATCATGGGGCGCGCGATCACGTTGATGTATTTCAGTACTTGCTGCTGGACCTCCTCTACTGAGTGGATATGCACGAAGTATCCTGCCGAAATAGTTCACCGAGAAATTAAAAAAAAATATCAAAACACTGGCCGAAAAATTACCACACAAACTTTTTGGTTATCAAGCTATATTTTATTTCTTTTTATTAATTCACAAAAACAAAAGATGTTTTCGCTATACAGCAGACATAGTCAACAAAACTAGGTTAACGGTTTTATTCCCTTTTCATTTTAAATTCTATTCCAATCAAGCGACATATCCTCTATGTAGTTTTAAGTGCTCTTACCTCTGTTCAAGCAAGCCATCCATTGTATCTCGCGTACGTTAGTGACCTCTTTCCCGATCAAGTATGTGAAGACCCGAACAGGGATGTACGTTTTCCCATCTACCTCTTCCCTATTGTACCCCTCGAACACTTCTGTGAGGTTCCCGGGCACGTAGTCTGTGATTACCATTACTAACTGGTTGCAGCCCTGCGTGCTTGTCACGTTGCAGTGGCGACGTCTCTAAACATGTTACGAAACAAGTTGCAAGTGTGATTTAAGCCTAAGATATAGGTGTAATTATAAGGTTAAATGCTGTAAGGTTTGTAAGGTGTATTTTTATATCCTATAGTATTAAACTGTTCATGTTGTTTTAGTAGGTTTCGTGTCTAAGATTTACTATTACAGCTAATAACAAGCACCTCACGTAATGATAGCATTGTGAGGCATGTTATAGGAATTGTTTGTTATTAAAATTAATAATTAAGTAACTTTCGGAAGCAATTTATTACGAGCAAAAACCTCGTGTAAGTTTAACAAACCGAAATGTCTATGAACTTTGACATTCGAAATTATTAATAGACTTCTATTTGAGGTCGTGAAAATTACTTTCTGTTGATATTTGCTACATTTCATTACCTCTCATCGCATGAATTTATATTTTATGACCTTTTACATTTAATGTAATTATTGTGAAGTTATTCATTGATGTATTAGTATACAGACAAGTATGTCTTATATGATAGAGCTATATATATATTGTCATAGGAAATGTGATTGTTGTAACCACTGAAGGAAATGTAATGGACAATTAAACCAAGGCAATTACTTTAGAAATTAATTAAAAAGGATGGGACCAGAGCAAAGAACCTTGTACTGGATTTAGACAGCATAAAAAAAACATATCCAACATTTTTTCTTACCTCTTCCAGTGTAGTAAAGGCTGTGATATAAGCCATTGTAAGATTGGCATTACCTTCAAGAGGAACATTATGTTTTTTCTCGCCTTCTATCGGCTCTAAAGTGTTTGTAATTGTTTTTTTATTTTCCAACGTAGCCTGAACGAGACCATCAAAACATTTCACAACTTGTGATACATCTTTCTTAAATGTAAACACATTAACATAATCGTTGTTTGAGAGTGTATCCAATAAAGATTTGAGAGTGCTTCTAGCTACGTAATTCTTGAAACCGGTCATTGAACCCGAAACATCGAATAGGATGATAACATCTTTTGAGCAAGTCGCCGCTTCAATATACCAGGATTGTACTCTGCAATCGTATGTATCGATTTTCTCCATATTCCAAGGCATACCGGGATAGAAGCGCATTATACCGCTAGAGCTACCAAAATATTGCCATGATAACGACGGATCTGATTTGTAATTGTTTATAAAAATATCATTTAAATCTTTTGACCATAAAATAGCTTTCAGTGCTTCATGTTCTGGAAAAATTATACATTTATACAATTAACTTTCTTAATTATGAAATTTAAAAGATTCTGTAAAACATTTTCTTAAGTCCTTGCTTAAATTTATTTAGCGGAAGAATATTAAATGAGCGTTTCCATAACTACTTATGTAATAAATCGTATAACTAGTATTACGCCCAGAGACTAAACAAACGAAAAAATAAAATTTTATTTACTGTACTTAGTCAAGACGCTAAAATATAAGAGAAATATATTTACCTTTAAAATATATATTTGTAGGAACATGAATACAGCTCAAATTTGTATTAACATTTATATCATAAAAATGAGAATCCTTTTCTAAAGATAATTTCATGTAATGCGTCTTGTTTTCAGCGAAGATCGGTATTTGACTTGGCACGATCGGTTCAGTCTCACCCTCCTTGTAGAACTCGGAATACTTTGCTGAACAATATTTGAACATGTAGTGCTCATTCACTAATGAATAATTAAATTCACGCGCGAGTCGCTCCGCAGTTCTGTGTATGCACTGAAATTTTCATTACTCTATTACACAGAGCATTACTACTGGGTTTCTAAAGTTTCCAGTTATTTTGTCATTACATAGCGGTTATTTGTATTAAGTTGACGTATGTTTCAACGGAGTAAAACTCAAGTTACGTAGATCTGAAACGCATTTTATCGAAAAAACACTCACTAGCTCGACTCTAACTGACAGTTTTTACTGAAGAGTCCAATTGATCAATTCAAACTGTGCGTTAAATGTGAAATATGATCTGTCAATTGAACAGTTCTTTTAAAGTTTTGCCTATGATTTACTTTATTAAAATATTGTTTTATCTACATAATGGTTAATATAACTACTCGTATGTAGGATCTTCTTCAGTACACTATGGATACTATTTTAATGATAATTTGGAGTGGATTGTATAGATTAGATGGATTTAATGAGGATTTTACGCCAGCTCATGCTTCACTGTTTATTGTATTAAGTCTACCTATAATACAAATGTATTACAGATGCACTTCTTTTACTTTACAATATCGAAATTATTTGTAAAAGGCTTAAAGAGGAAAAAATACAATTTTCGTATGTTTGACATATTGTTGATTACATTTTTGACGTTATCTGATAAGTTGATATAACCTGATGCAATATCGTGATCATTAATTTGTTGTGCCTTTGTGAAAATGTTTTTTGTTCAAATTTATTTAAAACTTAAAAAATAATTATACTCACGTATTAACAGTTTGTTATCTTATATTTTTATCTAGAAATAGTAAAAGTTTGTGTGGTGATTAACATTCTAAAAATAAAAAAATAGCGTCGTTAGCCGATTTTACAACCCAAGCTACAAGCCTGTAGCGCTACGAATCAGCTACGTTGCACTTAAAACTTCTCAGTTCGCATAATTTTAAGAGAAAAAAATAAAATGAAAGATTCCTTTTTCAAAACAGAGGTCGTTTTTTAAATAGTTACTGGCTAGAAAACAATTTTAGCTTCGGCAGTAGTTAATTTTGTAACCATTTGTTATGTATCTTATTTTTAGCTGTATCCTAAGGAATTCTGTGACGTAAACGAGTTCATTTATACATAAATTAGACAAATAAAATAATGTAAAACATAGGTGATTATAAACATTTACCTTAACTGCGTTTATTTTTCGTGTTAACATTGTACTGACAGATCTTAGGGAAGATTCCAATATTTGTTTACCATCTTTCTTCTTCACGCTCGCATTCATTTGCTTGTATTTCTATAAATAAATTCACATTATGCAGGTGTTACATTGCAAACATTTAAAACTGCGATTATTGTTACATTTTTTTATTGGAAAACATAAATAATATTACATTTATTCTATGGTTTGGATTATCCTTCTAAGACAAGCAAAAAGACAATATCCTGAAAAAGTAATCCGCCTTGGAATGTATATACATCTTATACCATATCTGTAGACCTAGAAAGAGATGGATGGATTGCGTAAAAGGTGACATGATCAGAAAAAGAGTGATGACTCATATGACATATGATAGAGTTATTTGGAGGACAAAGATCTACTGCGCCGACCCTACGGGAGTAGGATAAGGAGGATAATGATGATGATGATATTGTCTGTCATATTCATACCCTTCTTGTTAATGTAAAATGTAGCCTAAGTTAGTCAGTGATAACGTATGTAATTTAATGCCAACAATTAATTCTTTCCTCTTTATTTAAATCTTGATGTAATTAATTAAAAATGCTATTTATTCAGTTTGCCAAACATAATAGGGAGGTAGTAACAATTAGTAAATAGTTTCTAGTCATTTGAAAAATACAAAAAGAGTAAATTGTGCCACACTTACTATTCGTATTTGATCTGACTTTGTAAGCGTCTCACTTAATTTCCATAAATCTTCACCCAAGTCCGTCGCCCATAGTTTCACTCTGTTAAAACATTCATCAATTCATTTAGCAAAATAAAACAACTGTTCAACAAAAAAAATAACTAAGAAACACTACTCCTAAATCTATACTTTTCTATACTATTATAATAAAGCGTAAACACACACTTTGTTGTTTAAGATGACAGCGATTATAGCATATTTTTAAATAAATCTTTTTTTAATTAAAAGCCCTACACTTACGTCAAGCTTTAGGCTATGTATTTCAACGCCATTAAACTTAGGGGGAAAATATTTTTAATAAAAACCCTAATGTGAGAACGAGACCATAAGTTGCTGCCAACATCAAGGAAGCAATGTTGTCATCATGTCATGTCATATGACATTTGTAATTTGACAAATGTAAACAATAAAATAAAATTTTCTTAACTTCATGCGCATGAAGCCGCACGGGAACAGCTAGTTATAAATTAATTTAGTTGCATGTGCATGAGCATGACTTATTTAAAATAAAATAAAAGAAAAATAGTAGAAATAAAATTCACGAATATTTGATTATTCCCTCCTCGTATTAGGATCGAATTTCCAATCAATCACATGCCAGTACCAACATCAATACCGCTCCCCGAAAGAAATAAGGACCAATACAATCCAATCTCTACCTCTATTTGCTTTTATATCCACAATAAACATACTGAAGGAAATTAATTATAAGAAATATATGTTATATTTCACAATTATAAACAAAAGCAATGAAATTTAAAAATACCACAAAACTGGTGATTAAAAACCGAAGAAAATTTGCACTGAACTTCTAAATATGGTTTAGTTGCTTTTATATTTTGATAGTGAACAAGTATAAAGAAATGATATTCCTATAACATGATTCTTACACGTCGGCTCTCCATGCTATCGTGGTTTCCGAAAGTACGAAGAAAGCGAGAATCAACACAAATCCGACGCAACGCATCTTCACTAGTGACTCACACGCAGAATTACACCTTTATTACTTCCACGTACGACGCACGGTTATTACAGTTTAAGGCACATAATTACACAGGAAAGTACACCATTACACACTAATAGAATAGCTACAATATAAAATAACTCTAGTCAACAATTACATCTATTAAAGCACGTATTCAAAACGCAACCGAAACGTCGAAGATAACGAGCAAGGACACTAACGATAGCGTGATTCTAAACTATTTAACAACTTTAAAGTTAGAGAGTAAAGCGGTTTAAGGTCGGAGTTAATTTTTTACTAGAATTACTGTTTTAAACTAAAACAAGACGCTTGCTTCTTTTGATTTGTTGCGTTGAGTTCGGCGCGAGCGTGTTGCTGCCCGCGCCGCGAGCGAGCGACTTTTGTCGACAACGCACGTGCTGCGTCTATTCTGGGCGGGCGGGCTGCGAGCGGCGGGCGGCGGGCGACGGGCGGTTCTGCATTGAGCGGGTACAGGAGGGAACTAGGTCGTCCCCGTACACACTACGATGCTGACGTCGCCACAGACTATCCTTGTTACAGTACGACAATGAAGTAAAAATAAATTACATCTTACAATAATAATCAATGCACCAGTTTTTCATCCATTGCAAAAATTTTAAATGTTGTTTAGTTGACAATTCGCCTCGGGCTTGCTTGTTCTATTCTACAATGTGGGTGAAAAACTGTGCAATATTATATTTTAAACCAAAACGTAAGTTCCTAATTTTAGAACTAGTTTTTTTATTTACTTTAATTAAATAAGTTAGCTTCCTCGACAGTGAATCTATAATTTTTAATTTGCTTTTTTTTTCAAGAAGTCGTTCGTATGTTAAAATTGTAACAAGCGTTTGTAACAACTGTTTGCACTAGTAAACAGTACGGCAACAGAATGTAACACTCACAACTCACAGAGAAACCTTACACAGAATTTGTTAATTAAAAGTTAACCACGTCGTCGCGTCGCGTCTCGTTCCTCGTGGACTGTGAGAAGAATAATTGTTGTCACTTCTCTCAGTTATGACTCTTTTATTCTCGTTAAAGTTGTTTGCTCTCTTTTAAGTTCTTTATTATTTATCTTTTCAATCCACTTTGTTATGTTTTTATTCAAAATTGTGTTTATTTCATAAAAAAATGTTATTTCTATTAGTTTTTCTATTCTATTAGTAATCGAATTAATAATATCGTGCTACAAGAAAAGCTCTTGTGAAAGCTTCTTTGTTACTTCCGTACCTTAACGTAGCCTTCAGCTCATTCGATGCTTTTTATTTCTTTTCTAAACTTGTCAATAACTTGAATTAATTCGACAAGTTGCCAGAACAATCTAAAAAACTGTTCCGTAACGCCTGTTGGAGAATAAGTCGGTTGGACGTAGACGCATGGTAGGCCTAAGCTAAGACTGCTGTAAATCGCCGTTAAAAGCTGCTAGGTAAAAGTCCAAAGCCCAACGTTCCATATGCATAATTAAATGTACCAGGCCCACTCGCATTTGTAGTTTTTTAAGATAATGATGATCAGAAAAAGTGGACTGTGATGTGAATGAGTAAATATAGCCTGAAATAGTTCGAGTTTCATATATGACGAAATAAGGGTGCGTCGTTGTCCGGACCGCAGACGATAATCTAGTTTAACCTCCATTTACGTTCAACAAGCTCTGGAAAAGCTTTAACACATTTAATATATTGTCGATGAACAATTTTGCGTTTTCGTCTATTATTTTCAATTTACAGACAGAATTATAGTAATATTTTGTTGTAACAGAGTTTAATCCTTAACGTAAATATTTTGTACTTTCGTTTTATGTATGACCCATACATGAACGTTATTCAAGTATCAAGGGATTTTAATAATTTATGTAGGACGTTCCGACGTGACGTCGACGCGTCGTGAAATATTCAAAGGTTTTTAAAGTTATCAGAATTTTAATGTTAAAATTTCCATAGGTCGTGAATGCGAAGAGCTCATGAATTATTTTGTATATAAGTAAGTGTAAAATATCAGTCTACTATATCTATTGTTTTATCTTTGTATATTCTATCTGTACATAGAATAAAATTGGAGTGTCTGTTTGTAATATCAAACGTAAATTGTATTTAAAAATATTTTTGTCTGACGTCTATCTGTCCGCAAGCCTCGTTTGTCCCGGGCAATCTCCGAAACGGCTAGGCAGATTTCTAACGGACTTTCACTGAAGGGTAGCTGACATAAACGGTCATATTATACAGGCTACTTTTTTTAATTTCGCGCTGCCAAAATGACGTAACTGGTGGTCCAAATTTGTGCTAACAAAGTTTGCGGGCGACAGCTCGTTAAATATAAAAACACAGGTATTTCATTTTCTCCTGCGTTTATGTCGTAAGTAATGGCTAAAGGTTCTTAAACACGCAGGTGCGTTTAATTCATCAGAACCTGAATACCAACTATCAATTTTATGTGCGTATTTGGGAATCAAAAGTAATGGAGTATGAGAAAATAAAACAATCTGATTTTTTAAGAATCACCTTTTTCCGTTAATTAGTAAAAGTCTTAAATAATCATTAAATGATGGTACAAGTTTTACGTAAGCTACTAAATTAAACGCTCGTAACATACATTAGGGCGCCATCCATTAAAGTTAAGAGGGCGTTAAGGGGTCGCGACGGCCTACAGCTTCGAGGCTAAGATGACGTACTCATATAGGCTTTGGCGCCGTCCCGACGCCGGCTGTTTCATGGGTTTGAAATCTACGTAACTAGCTTTTACTTGTGACTCTGTCTGCTTGGCACTAAACAAAAACTTTGTATAGCCTATACTCTATTTCAGACTATTCTATACCTATGCTACATTTTATCAAAATCCACACTTATACCCTGCTAGGAAATAAATAATAAAAAAACGACTATACATCCATCCATACTTACGCACTTTGAATTTTAGTACTACCGATTACGTGTTTGTTATAAATTGTTTCTTAACAAAGTATCAAAAGAAATTTATCATTTGCTTTTAAACTAAACAATTTTATATTCCTTCATTATAAACCTTAACCGACGGTGTAGAATTTCCTTAGAGTTCGTTTAAGTTCTTTTTAATTTAATGAAAGTAATAACAGATGATACCTAAATAACTACAAAGAAACATACCATCACGATCATTGTAGTATCAGGTTAATTGTTTTTTAATTCAAACCTGAGACGTGGTCGTATCAAATTATTTTGCGAGTAACTTAATAGATTATTATTAATCGTATCTTATGTCTCGTTTCTATGAATTATTTCAATTGCACAAGCTATGTATCTTTAAAATTAGCTCCATTAACGCGCGCCTTTAACTAAATTATAGCACGACTGTTTTGTCTCGCTTTGGTCCCTATGAACTTATTTGGGGGTGCGCACACTATTCGACTTGTATTTGTGCAACTAAATAGTTGACTTGGATGCGAAGCAATCGGACATCAGTTGTGCGATAGTTTAGTCAAAGGAGTTCGTCCACTCTAAACGAACAGTAATTTCTCGGGCACAAGTTTAGTATAGATAAAGCGAGCACTTGCCTTCGGATTCTTGTTTATTGAGATCCCGATACCCTCGCAATCGAACCTAGAGGTTTTAAGTTAGTAAAAATATCACATTTTTTTCCGATAGACATGATTATAAATATATCTACCGATACTAAAGAAGGTATATATCTTGTGAGCCTTGTAATTGTACATAGCTGCATAGTATTTACATTAAGTCATCGCGCCAGATACGCGAGCCTTTTGCCTGTCAGCGTTTATTTGCTGTTAGGTTTTTAATTTCATTTTGTCACGGTGTCGTCTTCGGGACGTCCATCTACATTGTTTCAACTACAGTTTCTAATGTCAAAACACCTTTATATTTCATCATGATTTATTTTATTTTTTTACGTTATACTGGAAGAGTGTCAGTGGTTCAGAGGTTTACTTGACTTGTACTTAACAGGTCCTGAGTTTGAATCCCGCCATCTACCAATGTTATTCATATGTACATAATTTATCTGACGTTCTGATGGTGAAAGAAAATATCGTGATGCGGCCTAGACATATCAGCGAATCAATTTAAAGATGTGTGAATTCAACCAACCTACACCAGCAGGTTTGTCTTCAGTCTCTCCTAACTTAGGGTTGGCTCTGAGTAGCTAAGAGGGGACATATAGTGAGCTAATGACGATGAGGACTATTGGAATAAAGAAAAATATTCATTACTCAGCGTATTCATTCCACAAATAAATCTGATTGATAACAAGGTACTTTCCCACCCCTGAATCACGACACGTGGCCCTAAAAAAACTGCTTGTGGGGCCACGTGGCGTGATCCGGGGGCGCAGGGTGGCTATTAAACACACCTGCTCGCCTCTATTACGTGACACGTTTCTATTTCTATCTTCAACAAAGCTAAATAATAGATTGTCATTGTATAGTATACTTATAAGTATTACTTAAAAATTATATATGAAAAATCGGCTGTTTTGTTTTGAGTGTTTTTAAATAGTTATATTTACATTAAAAGCTTTATTGTGCTAAACTGTTACAATGCAAATGAATTTTTGAGAATTTTCATTTTTTAAAAGATTGTGATTTTTTTCTAAAATAAACAAAAGAATCGTTTGCTATTTAGAACTTTAAAATAAGTTTTGCTAGTGTGAAATTAAACCGCCTTTTAATAAATGAGTGAATAAATAACAATTATATTTTAATTGAGATAATATTAACCCTGGAATTTATTAATAACTTTAGTTTCATTGTTTCTCGTTTATAATAGCAAAAAGCAGTTGATTGTTACATTACTAAAAATATTCTCACTATTCACATGGTTTTATTTTTTCTTTTTAAAATTAATGCATACTATATTTATATTTTGGTTTACATCAAGCGATGTTATTACTAATATCATTTCCCAAATATTATGGCACAAATATTAATTTAATATTATTAAGTTTGATAGAGAGCGATGTTGTATACGTAATAAAAGACCGAAAGATTGACAGGGCTGTCACAGTGCACAGGCGAGCGGCGGACGCAGTGCGCGGCGGGTGCGCGCCGAGACAACTTCCGCGAACAAAACAGATTAAAAAATAAAATAAAAATTACAAATCAAAACTGGCAACTCATAAAATAACATCTTTGTTCTTTGACAAAATTATTTTTTTAATCATAATCAAAAATGTGCAAACATGTTCTTGTTTCCATGGACACGGCTGATGCAGGTATGTTTGAAAAATATTGTTTACATATAAGTCATGTTGATTTAACATAATTATTTTAAGTGAAAATTCTTACATAAGTGAAAATTAATTTCAAAATATTTTATTATTTATCTTTATTTTTAAAATGTTCATTTTGAACAATATTTTCTGTCGTATAAACAAGAACTTAATACGAGGTACGTACAATTTTATTGCAATAATACTATTGAATGTATATCTGTTGCGTAATTAATAATTATTCAATATTTATATCATGAATTTATTACTATAAAGAGGGCATTCAATATATCAGCAAGGCTTCGCTGAAGCCCTACATCTTTGAGGTTTTTATCTAAAAGTAATCTATTCATTTTCAATAATAATGTTAGAAATAATACTTTAGTTTTAGTTGAAGCTAGAACATTTTCATATTACTTTAAAAATGTACATCGTAGTACAGTATCCCATAAAACAGTATACAAACAGCTTGATTGGAATCTGAAAGATACAATGAATACATTAAAGTATGGTGAATATTTCAAACAGAATCCACCTTTTTGTTTTTAATTCATTAATATATACAACGTAGACTATTACTATACATTGCTTACAGATTTTTTAGTCGGTTCCGAAGTTTAGGAGTTTATTTGAAACAAACACAAGTTGATCTTGTTATTACTAGAAGCGAATCGACTTTGGTAGGATTCCTAAATGTAATCTCACTCTGAATGCACCCACTGTTTTGAGTCTTTAAATAGTTATTTGAATAAATAGTCTCCTTGTTGGTTAAGATCGTGATTTAAGAAAGTCATTGATAAGGTACTGTTAAGTCTAATTTTTTTAAAATACTTGTACTGGTTGAATTAGCACGTCATGACATGCCAAGTTACATGCTAGCAACAATTACACCCTTACATACCTAACTTATTCAGATTGTAAGAAACAGTCTGAACTATACTCACTGTCGTGTGATCTCTCTTTTGTTTCCTACCCACGTTTACATTTGTTTCGTACGCAAAAAGTAAATTAAGTTTGTTTCGTATTTTTCCTTATGTATTTTTTATATTATTATAATAAAGCCGTTTCTGTAAAGTATTATGACTCACACTATTAAATATATTGTTATGAAAATGGAAATGCTATTTTGGTAATTGATTTCCTTGTCAAAGATTTTTACCCTTAGTAACAGTCGAACGTTCTTTAATTTTCATTTAATAATTTTCTTAAGATAATTATAGTTTTTAGAGGAAATTTAATAGTTGTCATAAAGAATTGAATGAAAAAATTTGTAAAACCCAATGAAAAACAATTTAAAAGTGGTTATTTTAACAAATGTTAAAAGATATCACATGACTGTAGTAACAATTACTTTAAGAACAGAGCTCTATTCGTTGAGCAGTTCATAAGACTATGAAACCTGTGTAGAATAAGATCAAGTGGGAACCATTATAATTTTTTTATTTATTTTCGCGTTGATACACTGTCATTTCCAATCGGCAATGATATCATATTGCAGCCAAAATCATATCTTTATCATTGTTCCATATTCATCAATACTCGGAAGCCGTGTGTAAAGTAACTTTTCCGTTTGCCTTAAGCCCTTTTTTGACTAGCGCGAATATGGCGCGATTTTCGTTTTTATTTGTTAAATAATGTATGTAATATTTCCAGTGGCACGACAAAAGTGACCTTTTTGTGGGTTTATGTGTAAAGCTGCAAAATAATGATTTATTATTAATAGAAGTGTTGTTGAATACTATTCGTCGTTTATAACATTGTTTTCCGATTCGCGACATCAATTGGTTTAAATAAGAAACCCATTCGTCTAAATTAAACGGTGCGTTCCTTCTATTAATTGTCACTTTGGCTGTTAAAAATAATATTGCTCCCAATTTGATTCTGATTGTGAAGATTTCGAGCGGAACCGGCGACTGTTGCTAGTACGGGAATTAACGATTGTAAAGATGACTAAATAGTTACTAGGGTTGTCAATATATATTTTATACACCTCAAAATTTAAGGTCTTGAATCAAATTTTAGAATATTTGTATCGTTGTGTAATTGTGAACGCATAAGGTATTAGATAGATGTTTTTTTTTTCAATTAACATGTTTTAATTCATTACTTTATTAGTAACAATATTTTACTCTGCCTGTCACCAAAGTCGCAGAAAGAGTAATGAAGGTTGTTATTATAAGATCTTTTCTTAATCCTGTCTCAAATAAGAATATGGGAAATGTGTTCTTTTTCACAGTGAAGACCTATTAAGGTATTTAGCACTGAAATGTGGTCAAAGACCTTATATAAAATTAAGCAAATAAACGGTAAGGGTGACAACCCTAGTGTACGTTATTGTTGGTTATTGAAAGCGACGCAGTGTGTAGCCCGGCCGCAGTCCGCGGTCGCAGGCCGCGCATGCGCACAGCCCTAGTCCGGTACATCACTACTTCGACCATTTTTATAAACACCGCGCACTCGGCTTTGATACGAAGTTAACCTGTAATTTTACCCCACAAAGTGTAATACTGACTTGGCAGTTAATGTGAACTACAATCTACAGCAATAATGAGGCTGCCGATATTCGATATGCGTAAGTCAAAACATAGTAAAAATATTTTCTAACCTACATTTTACTTAAGTTATTCACGGATTGTTATGTTATTATTGTAATATTGCAATGTTTGTTATATTTCACTTCCTATTTTATCGCTGAGTGTAACTCTTTTCTCGAATTTTAGAATTACGCATGAACCTAATAATTTCAAATGTAAGTTAGTGTTTATTCTATATTTAAAGTGTAGTGTGTCTGTAGAATTGTACTAATTCAGCATCAAACTGCAATATGTATCTTCTATTGTTGACATTTTTACCCACGGTTACTTGACTACACTAAACGGATACACATAGATTAATAAAACAAAGTTAAAATGTACTACAATTGCTATTAATTAAACATTAGTACCTTTGACTTATTCTAAAAAGCTATTAAACAATTATTCTTATGAACGAGTAAATAAAACTCTTACAATTTACGTTTAACCGGAAGGAATTAATTCTGCAGACCCCTTTCTAACATTCGCGAATAGACCGGATGGAAAGGAAACAGTGTCGTATCGAGGGAGCATCATTTTATAACAACATCCTTTGCAAAAATATTATAGTTGAAATAATCAAAGCAAAGTATTAAAAATTTATTAATCCACTTTCCGAATAATCTATGAACGGTAAATTTAGCAGGAACAATTATTGAAGATAAAAAAAAATGTTCAAATTTTATCTACAAATTTTATCTATATGACTTAGAGTATATTTCGTACAATATCTTTAAAGTTATGTCAGCTAGTTAAAATATGTTTGTATAACGTAACTCTGCAGGAATAAAGGTTTATTGAATGACTCAAGAACCATTGTGTAACTGTGATTATTAGCATTTTTCTGAGTCCTGCCTTTTTTACTTTTGTTACACTTCTATGTTACGTTTTTTACCCATCTGTGATACCGCTTTAAGGAAAGGTTAAATTTTGCATGAAAAAAAATTAATTTGCTGTTTTATTCACGTTAACGTATCTAAAAAAATGATGTTCATTTGATTTTTATAGTGTTGAACCCTTGTCAAATTGTGTCATTTTATTTTTTTAACATAGGAACCGAACCCAGTTTCATATCTATGTTCGTTCTATGAATCACATTTATTACTGGAAAATGAACTCTTAAACCCTTGTTATTTAAAAGTTTTCATCATAGATCAAGAAATCACCGTTCCCCTAATAAAATGTCGAATGTAGCAAAAAAAAACCTGTATTAATACTTTTGCAATGCTTGATTTTTCAAATATAATGGGATTTGTCACACCGTTTCGGTAATGAAAACCCATTTTTATATTTACTATTAAGTCCATTGGCAGCAATATTAATTTGTTATTATCGTACTGCTAATGATTGTTTTGCAGTTTCATAACAGTTTAATATTTCTTAAACTATACTTGAATTCTTCGATCGATTGCTTATACTACGTACAACGTTTGTGCCATTTGAAATTCAAAATTTAAACAATAAAGTTGTCGATTAACGTTTCCTGAACATCGATCATGTTTACACGTATTTTAAATTTTATTCTATGTACATAGAGATTATCAGATATCGTATGTACGAAAATGTATTGAAAAAATCCGCTTTACGATAACTCTAGTTATCCAGATTCGATCAAGTCGTGCGTATAGGAGTTCGTAATGAAACCAACATACATACAATACATATATAGTAAGACATTCTTCTGTCAGTCGACGACAGCAGGGCAACGACATAAATTAGGCTTACATCTTCATGATTGGGTTGATTGGCAGCGATGCAGGTGGCCGAGGACGAGACGATCGATCCGTCCGTTAGCAGACGGGCAATTAGTTGCATTGAGAATGTGACATTAGTTGAACTGTCTGCGAGGCCACTTAGCGACTGAACGCAACTAGCTAAGCGTACTCATGCGTCCTACCCCACAGGCATACATATTACTAGGATTTTTATAACACTTGCGTAATATATAAACCACTGATAAACTGTAGAAAATTTTCAGCCAAAAACCGTCGAAAACTTGGCGAAACTTATTATAACAATTCAATGTGTAAACTTTTTTTGCGCATTGTACGAAACGAATTGCGATAATCCAGCGTTACAGCTAAAGCTATCGTATGTCTGCTCGAGTTGTAATAAACAACAATAAATTCAGAGAATAAATTAGTGTGTCAATTTAAATTATATTATTTAATGTTGATTCAAGCTTTTCTTGTGATGGTGTCGTAGCTTTAATCGTAAAGGTAGGAACACAATATTGCAATTGACACTTTCTGACATAAACAAGCAGTGTGTTCCCAACTTAATCCGAATTAGTCAATGGTCTTGGGAAAATGTCATTCAATAATTTATCGTGGGCCCTGCGCTGCGCAGTCATTGCGATTTATAGCGCTCAAGCCGCGGCATCCGCTTATCAATGCTATATTCATTGCCACTCCAACATTATATAGACTCACCATCTATTGTGCACCAATTCATACGTGCTGTGTGATTATTCAATTTACGGTATGAACTTAGAATTAAACGGAAAAGCTATTTTGAGATAATACATAAAGGAAGACATTGCTACTGTATGTAATAAATAGAAACTTAAAACAGATGTTAGAACTTCAGAATAAATGGAAACTAAGCTATATCGGAATACATCTTAAGACTTGTCGAAGATAGATCGTAGTAAAAGAAATTTTTCTATTACACTATAGCAGAATTATTCACGCTTCTAATCTTTTAAAAATTTTTAGTCTTAAAATTAATTTTGGTATTATAAAGTCCAGTACCCATTCCGCATTTTTCTGGGAACTGTTTACAAACACCGCGGTACTAGGAAACGTTTGTTTAATTAACAGAGTCCCGTGAGATGGGATTTGTCTCGCAAGTCGCCGTCATCGCCACGATTTCGTGCGCCCAAGAATGTTAATACAACTTTGGATTCCTAAATAATGATTAATATAGTTTAGTTTGAATAACAATTTTATGATAATTATTTATAGAAATTGAATACAAATAGTTAAAATAAATCAACCTTGACAAATATTTTTCTAGAAAACATAGAATTGCATACAACTTACTATGTTATGGTTAGTATTTCTTTAACAATTAACTAGAAAAAGTAGAACAATAACTAAGTGGTTATGTAAAGTAACTGTGCTTTGAAAATGATACAATTTAATATTTTTATGGCAAATTTCATTGCGGTTGAAGTCTTCCTTTCAATACGACCATAATAATTGTCTTAATTAGTTTATCTCAGGCGATTCGAGTTACGTCAAATAATAAATTTGTTATCATTGAACTGTAAATCCATTGATGCAAAGATATTTTATTTAAAGATTTTTGATTGACAAGTTTTGCAGGAACAGAGTTTTATTGTGACGTGATTTATGTACACTAAATTGTAAATTTTTAACGTGGTATATGATAATAAGTTCCCTGTTAATAATAATTAATCTAGGATATGCTTATGAACCGTTTGTTTATTTTGTGTTATATTGTAGCGATGAAGAAGTCGTGTAAGCCGGCGATGCTGGGGCGTGTGTGGGCAGCCAGCCGGCGCGCGCTCAGCCTGGAGCACTCGCCGCCGCACCAGTTCGCCTGCTGCCAGTGGCAGGCCGGCCACAGACCTTCCTTATACTACCTCACATATAGGTAACACATCCAATATATGATAAACTATTTCAATCTTTATTGAGATAGAGATAAAGTGTGTTCTATTCTGAAAATCTTGATACTAGGCTGCTCTATGGCCGGTAGAATTCATAAAATTAATTATGAAGATTGAACCTTCGAAGATAGTTTCATCGTTTGCCTGAAAAGATTGGACTATTTGAAATGTACGGGATTGTTACAATTGCGTACCTTACACCTAAACTAATTTGTTTCCAGGTGGCTAGTATTCCTGACGGTGACGTCAATAGCAGTGGCAAGCTTCGCATGCCAGCGGCTGCCGCGACTATACAAGGGGCCCAAGCTGGAGCTCAACTACTTCAAGTGGTTCATCTACTTCACCAACTGGGGCTACCTCCTTATCGCAGTGCAGGCCGCTCTCGCCCTCGCAGTTGTACACCGCTATAGAAATGAAAAGAGTCTTAATATTAGTAAGTACTTGTTACCCCTTTATCTGTTACGATAGATTAGCGTCAGATATTGTATAAAGGTTTAAAGAGTACTCTAAAAGAATACAACATAAAAGTCACATACATGAGAATGTTATTACACTAATACCATAGGTAGTTGCCGGTATTAATATTGTAAAGATTTTCTAAAATATGTTGTGAAAACATGATTTAAATATATTAAATGAGTCCACGTTTTTAATAGAAGCCGGTAACTTGTAAAGTTGTTGTCCTTCGAAAGCATTAGTGTCTCTCATGTAATAGTTTCGGATCTTTGTATTCTTTTGATAGCTGTAAAGCACGGGAAGAATCAAGTCTTAGATGGTGTAGGAGAAATTATGATTTCAAATTATAAGCTAGTTAATTTCATCTGAGCTACATTAATGTCACGACCATATCTTCACGGTCATTAATTTGTTAGTTATGAGACCGCATGATAGTACCAATTACATTAAATCTAGTTTATAGGAACGCGTAGCTTATACAACATGAAGATAATTATTTACTAAAAACTTTATTGATAGGTTAGGATTCGCCCGCGACTCCATTCGCGCGGAATTAAAAAAAAACAAAAGTGTGTAGCCTAAGTGTACTTCTAGACTATCCTATGCTTTAAGTTTAATCTACATACTCTTACAAACATCTTTCCATTTAAAATCTATACATTTATAATATCAGTAAGATTAGTAAGATCGATAGTTAAGAACAAGCCATAAGAAACTATTGGAAATATCAAAGAAAGACCAAAGAGTCTTACTATAAACGACACCCAGCATGAACACCCACGAAGTGCTCAGAGTTAATGGCTCAGTGTCAAGCATCGCGTGATTATGTCTGTTAAGGTTTTAGAGGAATGTCGGCTCGTGCGACACAATTAGCTCAACTCCGCGAACAAGCTAACACGGCACTGCCGAATGACTTCTTATGCATAACGTTTAAACACGTGCTCTCGTTTATAGGACAATATACTTTTTATAAAATTTAATACCTAAGCATCGCTCTATGTAGTACTATAAGGCAAATTCGCGATTATAAAAGTATAATTTTAATATAACACATGCAACCGCTCATCTTTGTTTTCACGTGTAAGTCAATGTTTTGCGTTTCTGTTTGTGTTTACGCATGCATTTAGCTGCCACAGACGAGTGAACTACTCGTGCTCAGTAACACGCGACCTGAGACATATGACGTCATTGTTGTGTTGTTTTACAATGTAAAAAAAACAGTTGATGCTATCAATAATGGAAGTAACATACTCCATCATTTGTACACTACGAAACTTCAATTCACAGGTCTTCTGTTACTATGCACGCGTTTAGGATGTCTAAAGTATTTTTACGTCTTTCATTCTAATTATGTTTCTGAACTAAGTTACACATGTAATAATACCAGTTGTAAAATCAATGTAGTTCGCAGCGATGTTATTCCATCACAATACAAATTTATAACTATACGTTTAGTTTCATCTACATAGGTTTCCCTGTAATAAAGCCTTTAGGTACAGCACATTCTAATTCAATGTCAAACGTCCGGAAACATCGTTACTATACAAAAGTACCGGCAATGTTTCACATAGCACGAGATCTTAATCAATGTTTACCTTACGTCATTGTGGATATCAAATGGTTGTTACAATTGTACTCGACTGGCGGCCCGGTGTTTTACTAATCATTCATTTGAAATTGCATTTTTAAGTACTTAGCTTGTGTTTTACTGGTTCTTTTAAAATGAATCGTTACTTTCTGCTGCTTGATAAGTGTACGAAACTCATACGCTATGGTATGCCCTACCCAGAGCAGTAACTCACCGGCCGGTCTTCGCCCACTCTAGCGTCCCAGCCATAGGGGACAGCGGGTCACGCACACTTGATTGATACAATTTCGCGTCAATTAACCGACCGAGTGGACCGTCATCCGCTACAATTATCCTTATTGGTTCCCCATTCTTGTCATTGACGTAGATAAACGGACCAATATGTTTCGATACGAACGCCAATTGCCATTACGAGCCGCTTCGAACGGCTTCCGTCTATTTGTCGGTCGTTCAAACTTCAACTTGAAACATATGTTATTTAATTATTTAAATGTCTTGTATACACACAGATTTAGAAAGGAAAAGTTTTGATTATAATACCATCGTGTAATATTAAAATAATCAATAATTGCAGGTTGTGATGACGACGAGATCCAGATGCCACGTCGTCTAAAGACGCCCGTGCTGTGCCGCATGTACTGGCTGTCGCACACCGTCGCCACCGACCTCGCTTTCGTCATCACGCTAGTCTACTGGACTCTCGTACATGACCCTAGTGAGTTATTAAAAAGCTGTATTCTCAAAACCAGTTATTTACGAAGAACTTGTACTAAATATTATTAACACTAGGAATACACGAAGTGAACGCGCTCAACCTACTAGTGCACGGCGGCAACTCGCTGGTGATGCTATTAGAGCTGGTGCTGACGGCGCACCCGGTGCGCGCCGCACACGCCCTGTACGGCGCCGGCGCCGGCCTCGCCTACGGCCTCTTCAGCGCCCTCTACTGGGCGCTCGGCGGCACCGACCGCCTCGGACTGCCAGCCATTTATCCCACCTTAGACTGGAATAAACCTGGTATGTGATATTCTGTCAAGCTCCTCATTTTTAAACGAAATGAATATGTAAATTGTAGGTATTAAAAACCAGCTAGTACGTAGTCTATATTAGCAAGCTAATCGCGGAAACATCGAGCTACATTTTATACTCGACTAGTTGTTCCCGTAAGTCTTCGCATGAAATTATGAAAATTTTATTTTAATGTTTACATTTGTCAAATTCTAACTTTTATAGCGTTAAAATATACAGCCTAAAGCGTGTCGTAAGTGTAGGACTTTTTACTAAAAAAATGGATTATTCAAAAATATCGTGTGATTGCTGACACCCTACGCCACAGTAGTGTGTGTTTACGCTTTATCTCGTGCTATATATTAGTGTAGATATATAAAGATAGGTCATGACCAAATGTAGGTTTAATTTAGACGATGCTTATATTTGCAGGGTCTGCATTCGGGTTCGTGGCGCTGTGCGCTGTGGTGATGATGTCTGCGCACGGCGTGGCGACGTGCGTGGCGGCGGCGCGCGCCCGGGCCGCCGCGCGCCTGCGCCCCGCCGCGCACGACCGCCTCGCGCTGCCCGCGCACTGAACCAACACGCATAAGGATAATAAATAACACATATTTAGAAGTGATCACGTACCATACTCCCGAAATAAACTCAATTAGGTCCGCACTAAGCAGGTAAACCGTTTCATAGAACTGAATGGAAAACACCAAGGTCTTATACAGCAAAGTGTGGATCAGACTTGCAATAAACGGCTTAGGTCATGCACAAAGTTTCACTTCTAATTTCTAATATTTATTATCCTTATGCTCGAAGTGTTAATATTTTAAGCAATATAGATTTGTTCTATACGTAGCGAGATGTGATTTCAAGTTTAAGCGTAAGATAATGCATGTTTATAAAAAATGCAATCTGTCAGGCGACAGGCGCCTGTATGCAAGCTGTGGTGAATTCAGTATTATTATTTAAAACAAAAAAGTAAAGTGATATTTTTATTTGGGCATTTTAAGATTTCTATTCTATATCAGTACTTTTCTAAATTTTCAATAATGTAATGTTATGCAAATAACTACATCTCATCAAATGAAGAAAATTTAATAATGCATCGATCGAAACCTAAGTGTTAATTAAAAAAAATACCAATGATTACTTTAAGTTGAAACAAATCTCAATAACAATGGAATTTATTCGTTACTTTTTATTTTAGTTTAATTTAAATGCACAATATACTTGCAATTGTAAAGCACGTGGAACCATATCAGAATATAATCAAGCAATTTTAATTACGTATCATTGATTATCTGGAGTTAATGGATTAATCCATGAAACGTTACCTTTCACGGGAAATATAACGGTAAATAGCTATCGGATAACTGTATTACTCTTGAATTCCACTGCATTGATATTTGCATTGATAATTATTGTCATCACTTACTTTCTTGTTAAAAAAATAGAGACAACAATATATGTCAATAAGAGGATTACGCCAATCGAAACCAACAGTTAAACGTTTATGCACGGTTCACACTTGCCCAGTATAGTTGGACAGTTGCGTCCAATTATAGATTATTTAGACACACTGGTGACCGCGTTCACACTGTGCCAGTTTATTGACAGTCCAGTTATTGAGCTCTACTGACCAATGCACTGGCCAAGTGTAAACTACGCACTACTTGGAAATGCAACGTCCTTATTGCGAATCTGCGGAAAAATTCAAAGATATATGTGAAGCCACTGAGTCAGCATTTACCTTAAAGCCTTTTATAAAGAAGTGCTAGTGCTATGAGCTAGAAATTCAAAAATAAAACGTTTACCAAAGTTTTTACATTTTTAATAGTTCTTAACTTTTCGCCAGTTTCTATTAAAATAGATGCCATTTTTATAATGGTAGACATTTCATTTGCTTATTTGCTCTTATAACTGAAATTTTCTTCCTGTCAAAATTAAAATCTCCCGTATCTTTAATACTAACTAGCATAAGCTTATATATTTAACAAATTTTTAACATTAATTCTGAAAACAGTGTAATAATAACCGTAGAATTCTACTACCCTTACATTCCTTTCCATAAAGAGAATACATGCATTAACACAATATTGCAGTGGAATTCCACGATAATTTTGCATTTGCATTTCTGTTTATATTTAATTAAGCTATTAAACAAACATAATTATAGTTAATTAAATGGTATTGTTCCTATCCTAATAACATATTTAGGCGTCACTGTGATCTGAGCATCATTTAGCATTGTAAAGCTTATTGTAGACTATATGTGAGCAATAGTGACAAAAAAAAGTTTTGAATACTTCAATTTCGATATAGGATTTTATAAAAAAAAACTACGAAAATGCAATAACTTTTTTTACAATTTCCCATCATTATTTAAATTAATTCCGGTGTATCTTTTATGTCTTTAGATATAGTAATTTAAAAGCAATACATTTTGTAACTCATATCTTAAACATAGTAAATGAATGCTTGTCTATGAAAGTTAATTTAAATTAAATGTTACGTCTGATTTGAAAATGTTATAGTATTAATATTGTATTATGGCATTTACTTAAATAAGTATGGATTAAGTAAGCTAAATATATATACGATAAGCTTAATTATAATTACTCTTGATATTTGAGTATAAATAAAATTGTTTAGCCGTGATATTACAATTTGGTTTTATTTTAATGAAAAAAACTGAACAAATACCCGAGTACCATTTTATAAATCCTAGCTATGGCTGTTGCTAAACGTATTTTCAAATAAAAATATTTTTTTATATTTTTATATTTGCACTTGAAAATACGTATAAATAATAAATAATAAAAATTAATTAATATAAATATAAAATCATTTTGTAAACAGTTGTTAAAATGAACGTACAAATTGATATTTCTAATACAAAGTAATATTTAAAAGCGCCTGATAAAATAATTGTATACAAGTAGCACGTTGTGAAAATAGCTCATATTTTTCTAATTAACGGCTTCTTTCAATTATAATTTGACAAGTTCGAGGTAGAATTATTAAGGTGGTAATGAGTGATACAAGAAAGCCATTAAATATTTTAAAGAAAATCATTTTAGCGGATCTGTTTTCTGCATCTTGTTCCCTAACCTACAAAAATAAAAACATAAATAATAATTAACACATTTCGACAATCACACAAATATTGAATTACCGAATAAAGAGTTCTTTTTGTTACTGGATAGGGGCTGATTAGTATTATGTAAGAAACTGCCTCGCTGGGAATTGGGTAAATTAGCCAGTTGACCTATTTAGGTAACTTATATTTCCAACCCAGATGGCGAGACGACATAGAGCATGAGAATTTATGTATTGATCACGTATTTCAATAACGAAATTATAACCACTTTGTAGATTATTTAACATTATAACACATACATACAAATCTGTCTATTTTACATTAGTAAAGATAACATTTAAAGACAGTTGTATTATTTAAACATGTCGCAATCCATGACGTCACAAAAAGATTGGCTCTTGCAAATCAATTGTTCTTTGTTCCTATTATTAGTTATGGAGATAAAATTACCAAGCATGCCATTACTTCCTCACAGCGTTGTATATCATAAATAATCCTTTTGCATAATACGTGAAAATTGCACATAATTTAGGTTTAAATTAGGCATAGCTTTAGAGACTAAGTTGTAAGTTAATGTTTGGATTCTTTGTCTCTAACATTTGTTTTGCGCATTACGTTATAATATTAACGCAAAGAGCATTCATATCTAAAAAAAAATACTTATTTAAATACACTTTATTCGAATTGCAGTAGAGTAGTATTATTTTAAGTCAAAGTGTATTAAACTTAACAAAATAACAGTAAAGACTCTTAACTGGTTTTATACAGACAAGTATTTATATTATTTCTCGTGGTTTTACAAGTAATAAAAAACCCTTAGATAAAGTTTGTGGTACACCGGGTTAAAATTATTTAAATATACTGGTTTAAATATACTGTCTTATTTATCTTTATTTCTTATTCAATGACGAACAGTTAAAGATATTTATCCAACCGATTGTAAACGACTTACGTGACACATAAGTTGGTCATTTGGTGTAAATGGGTTAATAACACTTAATCTACAATTAGCTCGTTAAATCTGATATGGGATTTAAGGTGAACCTAAACACTAGATATTTGACCAAAAATAAACTAAGTAACATTATTGTTTCATAAATTTCCAGCAATACAATACACAAAAGTTTACTGTGGTGCAATACCCTAATTACAAAAGTAAAAGATTGCCGCAGAAATTGTTAATAAATTTAATTTTACAAAGTAATTCTTATAAATTCAATTTACTGTTAATTGCTTCTTTTTTACTGATTATGTTTTGCTGATAATAGCTGGGAAACTATCATATAAATATTATATTATAAATGCGAAAGTTACGATGGATGGATTGATGTTTGTTAGAGTTTGTAGCCTAAACGGCTGAACGGATGTCAATGAAATTTGGCACAGATATAGGGGATAGTCTGGAAGAATACATAGGCTTCTCACTTTTGGTTTTTTTTAATTCCACGCAGACGGAGTCGCGGGCGAAAGCTAGTATAAAACAACTTCGATAATTTTCCTATCGGATTTTCCCCGTTTTAAATCACATCCTTACAAATTACAAGTACGGAGCAGGTAGTGCGTGAAGGTGTCTCAGACCTTGATCGCCAGACCGCACGTATCGGTACGCAGCATCCGCACCGAGGCGCATCACTAGCTCTGCACACGTTCAGTCCACTGTCGCGCTTCGACACGCGTGCACGGTACAACACTAGATTAAAAAAAGCGCGCTCAAATACGTAAATAGTAATGTTGGTTAATTAATTTTTAATCGATGTAAATCAAATAAAAAAAGAATCGATATAAATGTGGTGTAATAGATATGGTGGGTACAGTTAGCTAGTGTAGAATTGTGACTTAATTGAAAAAAATTAAAAACACTTTTAATATTAAATAACAAGTAAGTACCAAAACTAATGTGTTACTGAATTTAATGCCTGGAATAATACATCTTTAATTTTCTCTCAACGCCCACCATGTGTTAGTTACCAGGATTTTCCAAAAGACAATCGGTCAATATATGAAAGAGGTGATAACGAAAAGTTTGCATATTACTCAGAAAAAAAGATAACGGCTTAAGAAACACAATCATATTAATAATTCATCTTTTAAGGTGGTTATCGCAACATATTTTATCTTACTAGGCACCAAAATCATCATTATTTAAGGACTTTAGGCACTACAGTTATCATATGGAGCAATTGCCTTTCTTCTGTATGTTTAATCATATTCACATACTTCCTAAACCTAAAAAAATACAATGTATTAAAACCTGGCAATCTACCACATAGTGTACTAATTCGGGACTATTCTTGGCAAGCCACCCTCCCTGTTCATAACCTACCTCACATCTGTTACAGTTCCTCATGCTATTAATAATTAAAATATAATTACAATATTTTGAACGACAACATTACAGTCGTCCTTAATTGTATAATTCAATTATTTGAAATAATAATTGCCTGATCTCGTTTTTTTATTTTAAATTACATTTCGTCCGCGACTCCGTCCGCGTGGAATTAAAAAAAAAACACAAGTATGTATCCTCTACGTCTATGCCAAATTTCACTGAGATACGTTCAGTCGTTTAGGCTACAAACTTTAACAAATATCCATCCATTTAAACTTTCGCATTTATAATATTAGTAAGATAGAGAAAACATTTTAAAAATAGTATATTAAATCGAAATGTAGAGACGAAATATGATTTATTATGTAAATATGGCATGACCTAGACAGTTTAATCTGACGATCATTTCGATCGATATCAAGCTCAGACTGAAATAAAACTAAAATTTTAATGTATCATTTAAGTCCACAGCCAGAGTTACTTATCTTAACATTCCTCTAGTCTAGTTAAATATAATTAAAACTAAATAAATAGTCTCCGTACTCGACACATTAAAAATGTATGAACATTTTATACTGTTTCGCAATATCTTGATATCTTACTTAAGTTTCCAAATCAAACCTGTTGGATTGTAAATTACTTAGCATATTTAGAGATAACGTTATAAAGGGCCACTAAGCAAGGTTATGGAAGTTTTTGAATTAGATCAATGTGGCACGTGCTAGCAATTCTACATAATCTACATTTAATTTTATAAAATGTAATCAAATTACCACTTAACAGTTAAAAGTAATTCATTAAAACATGTTTAAAGGAATAATATTGTTTAGCATTTACGCCGTCTTCCGTGTGAATTTTAATATAGGTCGTTTCTAAAATAAAACTCACAAAAATAGCATTGATATAGTTGTAACTCAAATCTACATTTCTATCTTCTTTCTGCGTTTCAACTGCGTAGATTAAAGGTTGGCAGTGCATTCAGAATTCCAGATGTCTAAAGGTAGAGGTCGCTTTCCTGCTTCTGAGATTTCAGATGACCGAATGTTCATTTACCATCTAATGATATAAAAATAAATAGTTTATTGAATCCAAAGCCTTGAGTACAGAATCAAAGTCACACTTGACAGATATGTAACCATTGTTTTGTCGCCTTTTTTAAAATAAGGCCGATTTAGAGATTCTATGCCTGCTCACAATCATATATGCATGACCGAAATTCATACATCGTAGACTAATTACTCAAGTGTTTAAAAATCATATTCATTAAAAAACATATCTTGCACCGACACTTTTGTTTGGCAACGTATTTTCCCAGACCGAAAAAGGTTGGGTCGAGATAACGACTTGCAAAAGAATGAACTATTTCCCATGACAAGGATATATGACAAAATAAATAGTACATACAACGTTGCACCAACGTGACTCGGAAAATTACTTCATTTACATCTATTGTAAAAGGAGTAGCTGTAATAACAATACAAAAAGTGTCCTCGTATATGCGGCTAAGTTAACATTATCACGTTATCATTAACAAACATTTCATTTATCATCATCATCATCACCAGCTCACTATATGTCCCCACCGAGGGGCTCGGAGCCTACCCTAAAGTTAGAGTGACTAGGCCATAGTCAACTACGCTGGCCAAGTGCGGGTTGGTTGACTTCACACATATCTTTGAATTTCTTCGCCGATATGTGCAGGTTGCATCACGATGTTTTCCTTCACCGTAAGAACGTCGGGTAAATTATGTACATATGAAAATTCGAAAAATCGAAAATCACATTGGTACATGGCGGCGGGATTCGAACCCAAGACCTCTAGATTACAAGTCAAGTGCTTAAACCACTGAGCCACCGACGCTCATACAGAGCCCTAAATACTTTATCAAAGTCGAAAAATATGACGATAATCTCCAATTGAATCATTAAAATAATTCAAGAAAACTCATTTGAGTTTTGATTTTTTATTCATAAACATTTTTCTATTCGTGTAAATTATGCAGCAATCATTACACAGATGCGGTATTTAGTGAAGGGAAAATAAATAACGCGTATTCCTCGTTTTCTAAAGCCGTGACTTCTTAACTGCGCGCACGCGCGTGCGATCGGGCGAGCAGTATCCGCACTCCGATCACGAAGAATATTATTTTATTTGTTTAAAATGCATTATTTTAATATATAACTAGTCTTTTACAAAAAATCTTTAAAAGAAACATCTCAATAAATTTGTTAGTTAAAGAGCGTAAAGAGCCTAGGTCATCAGAAATTGTGTGTACTAGTCTGCCCACCCTGTCGCTGTCTTTATTTTTCTTATTAGCAGTATTAGTTGGTTGCATAAATAACATTTACGTGTGAATTGACAAGGGAGGGGGGCGAGGAATATTCGCAATAGATCAACCGTCTGACACTTGGGAAGGTCAAGATCGAACCTGTCACGTATGTGTCTAATACAACAAGTAAAACTAAACAACGTTATAAAGTATTTCGCAATGTAATTTATCACGTGTCAGTTAAACTTACCATTGGAATTCACTCTTACAAAGCATCGATAATCGAATAAATTTGAATGTTCTTAATGGAAATAAATTCGTTATTTATGATAATTACACATTGATGTAATTATCTAAGACAGGATACAGATTATACCACGAATTTTTTAGTTTTATATAACCTTAAAGGCCTGTCCCACCACTGGCTGATAGAACCTCAGATATTTCCATCACACATGTTACACGTTGGTTTGTTATTAGACAATTTACAATTTGGTGGGACAGGCCCTTAACAAACAAAAATAATTGATAACATAAGGTTAACAAACCCTTTATACGCCGCAAGGGTCAATTTAACACGCTAACCCAACACTCACTGTAGATTATTTTAAAGTTAATTGATTTAAATTTATGTGTGTATATGTTTCTTGCAAAATGTGGAAAGTGCTTTACATGTTTTGTCTATTGTATTTACACTATTTAAGTGCTAATTGTGAGTGAAGTAACGTTTAACTACATACCAACGTAAACAATGTTTATAGTAATTTAAATAATTATTTAACAAATGATACTTATGAAGAAAGTATGGATGGATTGTGTGAAATATGCTTAAGAAGGGAGTGGATTCAGATATGACGGTTGATAGAAATGTATGGAAGAGCAGCACATACTGTGCCCTCTGTAGTGTTTAGGGCAAGTTGATGATGACTCTTATGAAGAAAGAATTGTAATTTTTAATAAGCTAAATAATAAAAGTAAAGTAATCATCTTACTCATCTTCGTGGTTGCAACGTCAAGCCTGTATTTTTATTATTAACATGCATTCAATTTCATCTGAGATATAACGCCGGGTACAAACAACTTATTCTTGATACAAAAGTAACCTTGTAACTTAATTATATTTATCTCGCCTTTCAATTCCGGGTAATCCTAGGATTCGAATTAAACTGGGACATATATTTTTTTATTTTTATGATGTATTTCTCATTCAATATTATTCTGAATGACAATAAAAACTTCTATTAAATAATGCCCTTACCATAAACTAATAAGTAAATAACCTACATATCGTAATAAATACAAAAGTATATCGACTTACATGATATTAATAAATATCTTGATTTACATAGAACGACATAAAATTAACTTGATAAATAATTTTTATCTATCGTCTAGTTGTAAAATATAATTTATTTATTTGTTCACAGAATCAATGCATCGAAATTGAATTAAGAAGCTTACTAGTCAATTGGCACTGTACTTATTAGTGATAACATAATTAGAAGAGATGACGCAGTTATCTTGGGGACAGAAGGCCGGTTGCTTCTACGGAGCACTTAAGCCAGGGGAGGAAAGACCAGAGTTATTCGCAAGATCATGGCTTGGCCTCTGGGCTGTGTACTGGCGTGTACCCATCTTTATATGGTCTCTCATCACAATAACCTGGTCTACTGCAGCGTTCTGGGGCTCCGTAAACAAATATATGCTGTATATGACACACTGGGGGTTACTACTTATACTAGTGGAATCCTTCTTCGGCGTTATCGTTGCACTCAAAGAAGATCGTTTTTTACCAGGTATTGTTTTATTATTTTGTTTTTTTTTTTTTTATTTCAAGTGTAGTTCAAGTTCAAGGTTAGAGGTTAACGATCAGTTTGTACATTCTTCTTATCTGTTTATTGACTAATTAATTAACAATAGATGATTTCTCATCTTTCCTCCTTATCGGATTGTATGTGTTAATAAATTATGAATTTCAGTCCTGTAATTTATTTTTAGTAGAACTAGAAATATTTATGTTGTCTGTGCGTTTTACAAAGTTCGTTATAAAGCTAAGATCTTAAAATCGGATCAATCTCAAACATTTTAATTAAAACGATAATAAAACCTGCTTAATAAATTAAAATGAGACGTAAATTGAAACATAAAAATATGCAACTATAAAAACTAAGTTTGGTAACCACAAATCACTACTATTTTACTGTTTTCGAGCTAGAAACAACATTCATTATAAATCTTGTTGACACTATAAATAATCTTAGCACAAACTGTTTAAAAATTTAAAATAACACTTCTGTCAACTCCAACTTAGATATCTTGGACCAACAATAGGTGATTTAAGTTGAATAATTTGATATGTTATGGTCATATTGACCATAGATGAATGTTAAGCAATCTAAAAGTGTTGTCTATGACCCTGTGGCTGATGTCATACATATGTTACTATTATTTGGTAATGAGCGGTTGCAACATTTACATCTCACGTTTATCAATAGCACGTGTTTGCGCTTGCGACATATTATTAAGGTTAAACTCGAGATGTTCCTTTGTGTGGATGAAATGTAAATATTGTACATAAACGTCAAAGATCATGACCATTTATGAATGCATATAGATTTTCTTCCAATTGTACAGACCTTTTCTGCAATGAATCTATCAATTACCTATGCTCTTTTTCTTCAGAACAAAGTTAAATTAAAAGTTGAGGTGCTTTTTCATTTTAAAAACAAAGATTTTAGTTCTTAACCCAAGATAAAATTTTTTTAATTACACCAACGTCTAGGTATACCAGAGCCAATTCACACTGACGCCACGACACCTGATTACGGAAGTTTTGTTGGATCTTTGAAGAATGAGAGTGAGTAAATTCAAAGGGAAAACTTTAAATAGTTTATTACAAAGGTCATCGCGTTTCCATTTAACTTCGCTTACCAGGTCATTGAACTAAACACATTGGTGATGGATATTACTTCATAGAACTAAACAAAGAAAACAATGGTCCCACCGTAACACAAATGCTTATTGCTAAAAGCTATTGACTAATTCTGCTTTCAAATCAACAATAACAATCGATAGTTGAAAACAATATAATCGATTATTCTTTTAATTGATTGACTTTGTTTTCCATACTAATATTATAAAGAGGAAAGATTAGTATTTTTGTATGTATTGAAATAACTCAAAAACTACTGGGTCGATTTCAAAAATTCTTTTACCATTAGAAAGCTACATTATCGATGATAAGCAAAGGCTATATTATTAAAATTCACGTGGACGAAGTCGCGAGCAACAGCTAGTAATTTATATTTCAAATAAGGTAATAAAAACCTCCTGATAAGGAAGTAAACGTCAATGAAAGATTTTGAAATATAACCTCTAATATTATGTGTAAAGTCAAGGACATCAGAGTCAGCCAAGTTCAGCATAATCACGTAACTCCACGCACCACGCAGAATACGTTATGCAAACAGATTATATTCGCGATGTTTTTAGTAATACTAAAATAATATTTTCTACCAATTTCTACCAGTAATTCTACACTTACTGCTAGATTCTCAGACATTAATCAGTCAAAATTATGGACTGATTCATTCACGCACTTAAAATCAAATACATTTTCGCCTCCTTTCAGTTCAACTCTATAATCACTAGCTCTAAACGACCAAATACTATAATATAGTTTGCATGTTTATGCAAAATATTGTGTGTCTCAATTAGTTGCTTTATATGGCAATAAAACGAGCCAAACAGCTTCCTTGACATTATTATCTAAAAAGCACAAGGTTGCTAAAATTGTAAAACATACTATCATCGCGTATATTTTTCAAAACTCTTCCTTCGTGATGAAATCTGTCAAGACGTAGTTGGTTTTAATCCATCAAACAGATGAAGTAAAACGGTCAGTAAACAAGCGAGATGTCTTGACTGTCGGTTTAATTATGAGCTGTGTACTGGGTTTTCCCCATTATAAAGCAAGCAAATAATAAAGTGGTTTCTGAACATTCCCGCGATTGAAAAAATAGAAAAAAATGACCATTAAATATAAAAATAATACGATGTGACAACCGCATTTAGAAATATTAGTGCAAAAAAACTGAAAGCAAGTGCAACATTTTAATTAATTAAAATTTTCATATTGTAATCTATAATATATAGAAAATGTTTTTGTATATTTGTATGTAACATTGATAACACAGACTATGTTTTTTACATTTACATTTTAATTAGAGAACAGAATCGCGAACAAAAAACTAGTCATTAATGAAGATGAACTGTTTCTCAACGTTCGCGGAAATACGATTTCGTAACTCATTGTTTTCAATAAAATGTTTCCAGATTGTTCACTACTAGCTAATAAACTATGATTATTCTTTTATCTATACTATTTATAAAAATCATTTTCTCACTTCAATATAAAAGAAAAGCTTACTACAAATATAACAATGGTGACCATACATTATTTATGAATTTCAGTATATAAAATTAAACGAATTTTCGCAGTATTGGCAATGTCAGAGTAATTTAAACAATCAGAAAGATTATGTATTGAAAGAGCATTAACTGTTTACATGAGACAAACTGTGAGACATGAGACTTCATAATCAAGTAAGAAATTTTAAAATCATCCAAAACATTAACTGCAGCCTGTAAAACAAATGAAGAATTAATTTTCATTAATATTCGGAAATCTTCAATTTATCCATATTATACAATTTACAATACCAATTATGCAAATTAAAACAAAGCAATAAAACTAAATCTAAATGAACTTGTGTGCATGTCATAGGATAAATAAGACAATGTGTACTAATAATCTTAACATTTGTAGACATTACCTTGATTGTTAACGTCCTTGTACATGACCATTCCAAGGTGTTTGCATAACCCCGATACGTTACGAGTTCAAGGAACCATCCTTGCCGAATTCATTGTGTATTACAATTGTTATATCAAAACGTAATTAGTATGCGGTCGCAGAATTTAAACACGTTACAAACCGGCTGTACACAAAGGTTATTGCACTTTTGCACTTTTGAATTTAAGATGCATACAGTTAGAGGTTTGTCATATTTCAATTATATACAAAGAGAATAAGCATCAAGACAGGTCAATATGTAAAAAGAAATTATAGGAAGCTACTCTAGGCATTTTATATTTGTTTTATGGTATTTGCCATGTTAACTCTATGGACTTCAGTTGGTCAATTCCTAACATCCACAAGTTTTTCACCGAGTGATTTCTCACGTATAACCTTTTAATACTTTTCATCGCGCTTGAATAAAGAACTCAAGGCATTGTTGACTAAATTCTTTCCGTTTGGCTCGTTCTCTTCACCTTGCTAAAACACAATGTTCTTTTTTACCATTAACCTAGGTTTTATTTAATACTGGTGTCGGGAATATGGATTAATGTTAAAAAAATGACAAACTAATCAAAATTATTTCGTAGTTTAGTTTCTTTGTTTTTGTTCCTTTTTACCCGATTGATGAAGAGGTTAGTGTTTTTTTTTTCATTTTTAATTTATTTTTCTTAATGTGTGAATTTTCTTTAGATACGAAATCTGAGTTCCCCTGGTACGTGAAAGTGTATTGGGTATTGTACAACATCACCATTCCTGTTGCCTTCCTCATCACCGTCTTCTACTGGTCAATACTAAATACTGGTAAGTATTTTCTATCATACTATAATATTGTCTTAATACTATTAGATTTTTCGTAGTTTGGTTTCACGATACTACTTTCGTAGCACGTCGTTAACCTAGCATTTAAACATTTATGATCTCTGGCGCTAGATATCTAAATTAGGTTACCAGTTTAAATACGGAGATAAAAATTAAACCAAACTATTTTTATATGTGTAGAATACCACACATTAGTAAGTAGTAATTACTTTGAACCGACTACCAAAAGGGGTTATCAATTCCTTTGTATGTTTTTATGTGTTAAGGAAATGTTCCTTTCCATATTTTTAGTATCATGTTTGTTCCAGCTATAAAAAAAGTTAACTACGCTCCGAACCCGACACTCGACGTAATGTTACACGGTGTCAACAGCCTGGTAATGTTAACTGAGTTGGTTCTGTCGGCGCATCCCAGCCGATTGCTCCATGTAATGCAACCGCTGTACTTTGGAATCGTATATTTGATATTCACCATTGTATACTACGACGCGGGAGGGCTTGATCCGTAAGTTACTTATTTATCTTTGGGATTAAAAGACAATTATCTATTACTAACAAGGCATAAATAAAAATTAAAATAGTTGAATTAATGTAACCACGGATTTTTGAACTATAATTATTCAATCGAGTATTAGGAATATTTTATACTGTTACTTATAAAAGTACTAAATGAAGTATCGACACATTTAAATAAGTCGACAGCCTTCAACATAATCGTAATAAACCTTTAACGTCTAAAATATATTATTATTGAGTATTTTTTAATCTTGTTTTTACGGGAAAAAATCAAGGGTAACAAACGCAAGCAGCCACTAAATGAAATTTAATTATTATAATACACAATGTAAGGTTTGAAATGTTGATTTAACGATCAATATCTACATAATTTCCTCTAGAATTAATTTTAACTGCTTGTTGCAAATTGTTACCGGAAATCGTAAATTTATTGTTGCAGCTAATCACATGTTAGAAATGTATTACATTGATTTTCTATTTATGTACATCACTAAAGTACCAATATAACCGATAAATATACGATAGCACTAAAAAAGAAAATATTTTAGGGTGCAAATATTCTTTCCGCCTCGAATACACCATTACCCAAGTACGAGAATCGCTAGGATCGAAATAACAAATGCAACCTATAAATAAAAAATGTGTATCGAGTATTAAATTCATAAGTAAAAAGAAATCGTAAATAGTTATCCCCCAATTAGTCAAAATTCTAAAAGGTGTTAAATCCTCATAATTCTGTTATAGTGTACATAACGAACACTAAAATAGAATTATTATTTTATCATGACTTTTGTAATTAAAACACCTTTAAAGTTCTTTGCACTCACATATAATATACTGCAGGCTTATCAAACAATGTCATTGTGTTGGTGCGCCTTATACAAAAGCAAAGGTATACATTGGAGCGTGTTGCGCGTGCGCAGACCTTTGGCTGTGACACAAATATTGTTCTAAGAACGTGAGCTCACATAAGTGGCATCTCAAGTTTGTATTGACTGTAGGCTACAAGTGTTTGTACCATGCGTCCTGATTTCCACTCGTAAATTGTAAAGCTAAGAATTCGCTGTAGTAAATAACAACTTATACATAAACGCTTAAAGAACCTGACTGTTAAGCAACACGGCCCTCATCTAAAGTCCAAAACATGGCAAAATGTTAGCCTGCTCAATTCAGTCAGTGTAAAATTAAATCATTAACGACATACGTAAAATAATTTAAAACCACGACATACAGAGAATCTTCATTATAATAAAGAAGTATTAAATGTAAATGTACAAAAAAGTTGCATCGTTAGATAAATTTACAACAGATTATAAAAGGATTTTCTGTGTAATCGGTAATCATCACAATGTTGTTAGACAAAACAACAAAGATTATTTGATAACCTTGTTTTGTTTTAGGCGACATTATCGAGTCAAGGTAATAAGTATAATCGGTTCGATCACCTGACATTGCCTGCGCTTACGCCTGCGCCTCCTCGAACAGTTTTCGCATACTAAACAGTTAACAGTCAGAATAAACGACCATCTTAAAGGTCGCCTACTTTTTTAACTAGAGTGAGGGACATCACATCTGTGAACTGAGTCATTTCATGTCTTTCTTAAAATTAAATAGACAATAATGTATAGGGAATTATTCAAAATTGACACATAGATATCTGATTATTTTGGAATGTTTATGTTATTAAGTGAATTTCTTACATTTAGACGCAGCTTCTATAACTTTTACCCTTATGAGAACAGTACGTAAAATGCTCTCATTCAATTGATGTTAGTTTCAATGCCAATCAAGTAAGGAGAGTCTAACAAAAGATTTAATTCTTTATACTGGTTCACACTACCGAAGCGGATTAGATAACATTAAATTATTGCCACATTATCTGAGGAATGATGGCTTTAAAAATTCCATAAGTAAAAATTCATTAATTTAAACAACTTTTAACAGAAAGATCTCGTCATCTGATACAGATTAAATTTATCTACATCTATGAATAATATTCACTATTCAGCATATTTTCATCGTTTATTATTACATTATTATGGTGGAACTAGTTTGTATAATCTAGATTTTATATTATTGTACAATTTATATGAATTCAGATATTACTTTCCGTATAATTATGCATAATTTTTTCACTACTGCTGTTTTTATAGTTTCATAAATGATATTTTTACTGTGTTATTTCAAGTTATTTGCAGTGTTCATGGTGACTGATACGTTATAATAAAATCAGTTGGCAACGAAATTCTATATGTATCCGATGCTTTCTAAGCATAAATCTCGCCGCTTGTTTTTTTATGATATAGAAGTTTAAACTTCGGCCGAGATAATTTAGGTTTAAACAAATATTATTGGAGTTTATGTTGGACAAGTTGTTGTTATTTTCGACTAAATGCCATTAAATATTGTTAAGAATAATATTGATGTACCTGTTATGCTAACGATACGGCACATTATTAGTTGATTATTTTAAAATCAACGCGTCTCGGAGCGGTTAACCTCGAACAATCTTAATGTCCATCTAAAAAAATCTCACCGCGAACTTATAAATAATCAATTACGTGAACGAAACCTTTTTAAGCCATAATTATCGATAGTATTATTGCCTAAAAATTTATATTTGTATTAACTTCATGTGTAGCATTTATTTAAATGTAATTAAATACACTATTTTTTTAATTAATATATTCTTTAAAAAATAATACAAAGCCGACGTTTTACTATTGCCTAAAATTCTTTTTAAAAATGTTATCCGGACTACTATCTATATAGTATGTGTTTCATTGATAAAAAAAATTAAAGGTTGACAATGAAATCATCAATTACTGTGTTAATACTTTTATTTAGTGTCCGTTAGCGTACAAACAAATCTGTCATTATAAGACATGCTGGATCTTTCTATTAAAAACAGACATTTATAAACATAATTATTCTCCCGAAGCAGAAGATTCGTACGGTGTTAGTTTTTTTTTGTTCTCTTAAATGTATTAACCCCACTTTTTGTAATAAACGAATTTCTTTCCTTCTTTCTTTCTTGATAATAATTCTATACATAATATTTTCCAGTTGGGGCCACGTATTCATCTACCCTGTCATCGACTGGTCTAAACCGGAACAGACGTTGGTGGTTGCCTCTCTCACGGGCCTGTTCCTTGCCCTCATGCATATACTGACCGTTGGTGTGGCGACATCACGAGACATTATAGCCAGACGGTGTCGTAGAGCACCTAATGGATTATACAACGATGGATTCGAAGCTTAATGTCGATGCTTAGGAAGAATCGAGATGTAAAACCATGCATCGGTACAATCGAATCGATTGAAAGAATCGCCACAAGATGATGATAAAGTTATTGCCGTGGAAGTGAGGACTTCCTTGGTTATTCCTATTCGAACATTTGGATTTTTATTGGAGACTGTTATAATTTGACATTAATGTGTCGTGACGTATCTTTGACTCAAAAGGACTTGTTTGTTTATAAGATTTTTATAAAATGTTTCAGATATTTTGTACTACCTTGTACTAAATACGCATGTAACATGTTTACTGTTAACAAAATTGTAAGTGAAATATAATCTAGTGAATTGTTATAAGCTTTATCATTATTTAGTTCAAAATAGAAATGTAAAGTGTTAAGAAACTGATATTTGTGTAAAGTTTTGTGTAATAAAGCAAACTGTGATGGTTGTCCTATTTTAGTAAAATAAATGATTACTGACGAATTGCACATTGTTTGTCTACCTATACACTTGAATAGTATGCTTTTAAGTAGAAACTAGTAGTAGAAGTGCCCCTTCTAAAACAAAGTCAATACCCATTAGTGATTAAGAAAAACATTGTTACACCTAGTTATACCTTTTTTGTACCTACTGTCTTCTACTGCTTTTTTTATAATATAAAGTGGCAAACGAGCAAGAGGCCACCTGAATCCACCATAATGGAAAGCGACCGCTGCCCATAGACATCCGCAATTGCAGATGCGTTGCCTACACTTAATGGACGGAGGAGGAGACGCACATAAAGAGGACATTTCTCCTTCCTAAGCAGACGCTTATTGGAGGAGACCCTCCACCGCCAAATCCACTTTTCCTTCCCATCCTCGCCTTTTAAGAAAAGGGTGGATTGGGAAAGGGATTAAAATTGTTTCTTTTCTATATTCCAGAATAAAAATGCTAACATTGAATTATGTAGAGAATATCTGTGGGAAGTTACTGAATTAGCACTTAAAAGCAACTTTAACGCCTTTTTCTAGCTTATAGTTGAAGAATACTGTCGTAGACTGTTGTTTCTACTTTCTACATGCAAATGAAACATTATTTTAAAACGTAAGTCACGATGACAGTTTTTTTTTTAAATAATTGCAAACTTATAACTTTATCAATATTTAATCTAGCAAATGATAAGAAACTAGACGATTTGCGGGCACAGTACTGACTCACATCGACACAAGTTCAGTCAATACACGCGGTTTTCAGTCTGTACAGTGTAGTCGCAAATGGGTGTAATTAAAGATTATTTTAAATATCAACTACAATGGCAAATGTTTATGTTGGAGCACGAAGATGTTTCCGAATTCTACTTGAGCCCTTTCCAGAGGAACCGTTCAGCTGTGCCCTTACTCTTTGTAAGGACGATCATATGCCTGGGTAGTATCGGAATATTGATATCGTCTGTGATTTATGACATCATGCCTTTTGGCTATTGGCCTACATTTTTAACTCATTGGGGATTAGTTTTGAATACAATTGCAGCTGCTTTCGGAGTTATTGTGTCCGCTAGAGCATATCTACGTGGACCCATCGGTAAGTTTGTTTTTTCGCTAATTATTTAATGTTAGAAGATATAGCCCACGTGGGTTTATAAGGACTTTATGTCCGGGTTCGATAGGCTTAATATTATTAATGACGACGATTAGATGTTATTGAATACCACTCAGAAGAGATTAGACAGTAATACTCCTAAATTATCAAATAAAGATAACAATATAGCCGGCGTTAAATTACTACTAAGATAAATTATTGTTTATCAATTAATCTGAGTTTCCTCTGTTGAACGGTAAACCATTAGGCTTACATCGCCGTGCTTTATAAATCTTTATTTGAAATGACATCAGGTTACATCCCTTTTACTAAACGAAAGATTCATAGTCCACTAGACTGAACTGACGAATAAAAAAAAACACAATGCCACTGCGAAGGTTCCATTTTAATGAGAGCGTAAATAATGGCACGAAAGAATTTGTTGGGGAAAATTAATTTCCTATGTACCCAAAGTAGAATCGGAGAATCGTTAACTATCGAATAAGGAAAGGAAAGACTCGAGTATATGCCACATAACTAATATAGGTATGAGATGATCTTGACATGACAGGTTACACTTCGTTTATTTGGTAACAGGGAAGGTGTTCAAAATCAGACGTCTTATGTACATGCTTCTGACAGTACCTATATTAGCATTATGACAAGACGGTTAATACACTGCTGTTAGTTTTCTGGTCTGTATGTGATGTAGACATTTATAGTATAGGTAAAAAGTTCTTAATTCCTTATTCCAGATGCAACATTTGGACTTCCTCGATACGTTAAAATGTATTGGGCTATGACTAACATAGCAACTGTTGTGGCGTTTTTTATTACCGTGTTTTATTGGTCATTTCTAACCGATGAAGGTAAGATGGTTGTTTTAAATCGTTCAATTAATTTAAAGTCAAAAATCTTTACTCCTAATGATAAAAATATAGCAATTTCCAAAACATGAATATTGCATAGCTCAAAAATGTCTTATATCCAAGGGTTGAAACTGTATTTTATCATTTTGGTAAAAGGCATGAGTTTGATTTTAAAGTTAAAAATGGATGAACAATTAATATTTTAACTACAGCACCAGGCGTGATGGTTAGCATGTAGAGCGAACGAATAGTTACTGACGTGCCAAATGCCAGGTGCCAGCTACTATATCTATGTATTTTTGCACAGTCGATGAAAATACTGGCATGAACAAGACGGTAGACGTGTTCATGCACGCGGTGAATACGGTGTTGATGTTGGTACTTCTGCTGTCGTCGCGGCAGCCAATGCATCTGCTGCATGTGTACCAGCCCGTCTCCGTGCCCGTCATCTTCCTCATCTTCAGCGTAATCTACTACTTCGCGGGTGGAACTAACGCAATGTATGTAATTAGTTACAACCATTAAAAATGACAACTTCATATCTATACTTACTATTATAAAGAAGAAAATTTTGTTTGTTTGATTGTAATGAATAGGATCAAAAACTACTGGGCTGATTTTAAACCTCCTTTACCGTTAGAAAGGTAATTTATCTGTGAGTAACATAGGCTATACTTTTTATACATACATTACGAACTTACAGAACTCATGGATAAAGTGAAATAGTTTTGTTTAGCTGCCGGATTGACCTTCTTTTATCTTTTACCTCTTCACAGTTTAATAAGTGAATAGTAAAGTAATATTTTCTTTTTCCAGTACGGGAGGCTCATACATATACCCACCGCTGGACTGGTCGCAGCCTGGCATTGCGATGATAACAGTGGCACTCTCTTTGGTCCTTTTAATCGTGTTGCATGCGGTATGCGTGCTGCTGACACTCGGAAGAGATGTCCTCGGTCGTCGGTTACTAAGAGATAACAATTATCCTGTAACCGTTGGCAACTACGGTAACTTTAAATCCCCGTAAGATCTGTAATGGAACTGCCATGGAGTAAGAAAAGTACGAATGAAAGATCTATCAATACAATTTAAATGATGCCTTTATGGACCGTCTATGACGCCGGTTATAATACGTCTTCTCGATGAAGATTTGTACCGCGCGAAAAGTAAATGTTTTTATTTGTTGAAGTTTCTTTTTAAGCGTCCAGTTGGGTTAGATTAATAAACTATGTTTTTTATATTTTTATAAAATGTCCTTATGTTAAGTAAATTGTTATTTAAAACTCTGTGATATGGAAATTAATTTTAATAAAAATAAAAGTTTATTTCAAAATTCTGCCTTATTAGAAATTAATTTTGGCAATCAATACCTCCTATCCTCCTATAATGGACTCTTTTGAATATTGACAATAACCATAATTTATACTATACTAAAAGTGATATGTAATAAATACATGGTGTTAAGGAATTATAGAAAACATTATCTTCTGTCATTATCCAATCTTAAGATTAACAATTTTCCAACGATTATTGTTTGATACAATTCCCAGTATCATATCACACACGCCCTTTCGTAACGAAACCAACGCGATTTATTTTGGCACTGTAATCGATGTGAGTCAATCCGATAACGTACGTGCGAGTCGTGTGCTATCTCATAGTATAGATACTCTAGTAGTATTCGACTACATTCTGTGTTAAAATGAGTGCTATAAAGAGTTATTTCAAGGAAGAGGGGCAGTTGAGCATGCTCGGATTGGAATGTTCAAAACCTTCATGTTTCTATCTGAGCGTTTGGCAGAGAAACCGCTCGTCGACGCCGCTGTTCATTTGGCGCTCGCTTCTGTTCCTAACGTCGCTTGGTATACTGCTCAGTTCAATGATAATGTACGGCCTCATGGGAAAGTTTGGTTTCTGGTTCATCTACCTAACGCACTGGGGACTCACCCTAAATACAGTCGCAACGGCGATGTCGGCTGTTGTATCTGCGCGGTGTTACTTCTTCGGACCAATTGGTAAGATACAGAAAGTTATTAAAAATCAATAATTATTAAATATTACAAGGTATATTTCAATTTAATCAGGATGTTGAGAAAATCGATTTTGTCTAGGAATCGAGACGCCGCCGGCTGTTTGAGTAACTGTTTATCTTTCGACCTAATTTGCGATTTCGTCCGCTTAACAAGTCGATTTATCATGACTTTTTTACAGATTACATTCATAATAGCCTCCACTGAAAGTAAAGAAATTAATAGTACACCACTGAAAAAAGGAAATAATGCACTGAAATAACCGAGTAATATCTCCTGAAAAATTAATCTAAAGTAATACTTATAATAGATTAATTTAAACTCTTACACAAAAAAGTGTTTTTATGTTGAAGTTTAAAAACGAAACACTAACCACCGAAACATTATCTCACCAAGTAAAATATTTTCAAATTATAATATTTGCTATTCTGTTTTGACAGGCGCAGAATTTGCATTGCCGTGGTATGTAAAAAGTTACTGGGTTTTCTATAACAGTGCAGTGCCCATCGCCTTTCTGATTACCGTGTTTTATTGGACCATACTATACGAAGGTAAGGTATGATGTATCCAAACATAAACCTCTGGTAAATAAATCTAATTCGGGCAAGTATTTTTTATAAAAGATTGAACATAAAAAAATCTTCTAATAATTTCCCTTTTACTCCTAAACCAAGTTAAACTACGTAGCTTGTATTTCTTAACTTATAAGAGTTCAATTCGCAAATCCATTAACCCGTGAGTAGATCATGAGAAAACTTACAATTTGGCTACAAACATTTACCATAATATTTTTAAAATGTAGTATGCGTGACCTCTAACAGAGTTAATAAGAATTTAATGCCTTGTTCGTTCCATTACTCGTTATTGTACCTAACGATATAAACATTATGGTAAGAACATGAATCGACTCAGATATGATGATGGGTATTCGGATAAGAATAATCTTGTTTTGTAAAAATGATTCCTATTACGTAGATTTGTGTAAAAATCTTTGAATGGTGTAACACGTAATGGTGTAAAACCTTTTGATAACAAGAATGGTACATTTTATACCATACGTGTATAGTACACGTATATTGTAAAGTTTGTTGCAGTTGTCTGACAATTGAGATCAAGTAATAGTCTATGAGGTCAATTAATCTATAGACAACAGTTTGATTAAACACAAATAAAAGTGTGAGTTCTTAAACCCTGAATAAATCATATTTACAGTTGTGCCTGTAATAATCCCAGTATATCATTCTTGTTTCATGATTGGGCCGATTCAGCCGGCTACCAAAAAGAATAAAGATTTTTTATTCTTCTGCGTATTTTATGACTGCCAGATATTTTAAAAAATATTAACATTATTAATTGCCCAGTACACATACTGAGTAAACATATAGAAAATGCTTATTCTATTTGTGTTTATACTTAAAAAAAATACTTTTTCTTGCAGCGGGTTTTGAAGAGGAGTTAAACCATGGTCTGGACGTGGCTGTCCATGGTCTGAACTCACTAGTGATGTTCCTCCTATTAGTCTCCGCGTCCCATCCCTCGAGACTACTGCATATTTATCATCCTATGATTTTTGGATTGACTTACGCAGTTTTTGGTGCTGTATATTATCTGGCTGGTGGAGTAGATGCGTGAGTACAAATGGCATGTACATTCATTCATTTTTTAGTCTGAAAGTCTAAACGGAAATTAGATTGAACCTTTTGTATTGATTTTTTCCTTACTTGCTGTTTTATCGTAACGTTAGAGACTTTACCGTAAATTAAATTCCTGTAGTACAGTAAAGATCTACAGTAAAGTAATTCATTAATTTAGTAGTTAATTTATTAAATTATACCTGATAACCGTACACATATGATCGTTGCTATCACAACTCTTCCAATAGACTTCATAATAATCGCCAAAACATTCCACGCTCTGTAAGAACCGGAGGTATGAAGTATTATCATAATATGAAATTAAATTTATAAACATTTTCCTCAAATGCAGAACTAGAAATGTATAAACATAGTCCATGTTAAAATTTTAAACAAACCTCTACATCAAACCAACCAGTAAAATAGAGCATGTTAAACAAATATGATATACGGCGACCTTTTACTATAAATGTAGGTTCTCACTGATACACTTGTATAAAACTTATATCCGCTCTAAGACCGTCTAAAAAAAATAATATTACAATGTCTATAGATTACAATTCAATACACTGTGCACATAGTGGACAATTACAACAATTAATAGAACAATGATAATAAAAGGAGGAAGTGCAACAGCATATCGTAATTTTTCAAACCTTTTGGTGAAGACATATGCTGACGTTTTATATTTTCCAGAAATGGAAATCCGTGGATATACCCGGTGATTAACTGGTCGCAACCGGGCTCAACAATGGCGATGGTGGCGATAACTGGAGTTCTACTTATCGCTCTGCACCTTGCGGTGGTGGGTCTAGCGGCGATACGCGATGCTATCGCCACGAGGGTTATTAGGCGATCCGTCATCACGCATATAGAAGAAGGCATGCCATTGCGCTCACAAACGCAAACGATAACATAGCCAGGAACTTACCGCTTCTTTAAACAGAGAGAGCCGGTTTTTGCATTACCTGGGCGAGATTTCTGCTGCGCCCTAAAATGTAATACAAACCCATACGAAGAAGGCGCCCATTTGCACCTCTGGCTTCTCTTTATGTTAGACGCCCTGGGCAGACGTCCTACCATCTCCTACAGTAACATTGCCGGTACCTGCTGAAATTCCCGATATAAAACATGTTTGGTTTATGTAGCATATTTTTTTGATAGTTTTCTTACAAATGATGTCATGTACATTAAGTTATAAGTCTACATTACTATGAAACTATTGCGTATTAGAATTAAAGATTCAGACACAACCTCTTTGCTGAATTGTTATTAAACACTATTCTGCTTAACGGAAATAAAACGCATATCAGTGCGCGCCCTTGAGTTAGATGCATAAATCCGAGTTGAATGTTAATGTTAGGATTATCGTGTATACTTTAATGTTAGTAAAATAGTTGTTAAGTTCAATATGAGAGTAGTGAAATAAATTATACAATCGTTCTTGTGTTTTTTTTATCCACTGACATAAACAAATGAAATAAATCTTGTTTTTGTTTACCACTCGTGACTATCCAGCATTAAAATGTTATGTAACTTACATAGTTATAACACTTTATTATAGGTTTATACATATTGTTAATTAAAATGCTCGTGTAAGCAATGTTTCTACAATCGTTTACATACATTCTTTGCAAAATTTGACATTGTATGCTTATGCGACTTTATAAAATATACGACTCATATGAAATGTGACTTATTTTCTAAATCTGATATCCGCACCAAGCGAAAGGAATTTTGTAAGATTGAAAGAGTTTTTCTGTAAAAAAGCATGAAGCTATCCTTAAATGTAAAGGAAAGAACTTCCCAAAATAAGTGTTTAAGATAGAACACTCCTTCCTTTTGTTCAAAATTATTGCCGTTCGGTATTAGAATAAATATAGATATTTCCATAAAAACTTACAATAATTTATGGCAAAAACTTTTTCCTTAAATGTCGTTCATGACAACTCCGCGTATAGAGAATGTCAATACGACAGACAGCTGATTGACTATGATATATTTCGTAGGAAGAAGTAATTGTTGTGATTTTGCAAATAGTGCCTAGAACCGCCGATTTGCACTTACAATGTACATTGTCGACTGCATGTAGGTACTTCTTATGTTAGTTAATGTAGACAAAGGAAGGTCTAAAATACAAACAATCAGGTTATTTCTCAATGTAAAACTAATTAAATATAATTACTCATGACTTACGTATTGTAGGAACTTATATCCTGATGTTCTTACCTTAGCTTATTGTTTTCTTTCTTCGTGTGAAATGGAAATGCATTAAATCCATAGCAGTGATAATATCAGTTGAATTGTCCAATTTCTGGTCGGTACGGTATTTTTATTATACCTTTCTGTTGAATAGAAATCATGGGCTGGGTTTCCCAAACGGAAGATTAGCCAATATTTGCAAACCGTTGGACACAGCAATCTTGATAGTTATAAAGTTTATCCACGCATAATTTTCCTGTAATACAATTTGTGTGAGAATTTTGTGTCTTTTTTTACTAACTTTTAAAATCCATAGATAAAAGTGATCTCTAATCCAAGTATTTTCAAACAACTGATTGTCACATCGTGTACATGTAACAATATCGATGCTCTATCTAAAAGTGTAAGTGGTGAGTGGTGACGTATTTTATTGAGGCTGTGTTGACATTGAAGTACGAAAAGTGAGTTTTGTATTCGCCAAGCAACTGGTTAGTGGTTACATAAAAACTCCGGTACAGTTTGCGCAAGTATGGCAGTGGCGGGCAACAGTGCAAACCGACCGGCCGCGCCGCGCGCTGCGTCTTGCACTACAAACTCACGAAATTTACTTCGCAACATAACCGCGCTCGACGCCAATTTTTTTTAATTCAGTTTTTTTACCGACCAGAAATTAACAATAAATATTATCACAGATTAACAATAGTACGGGATTATGCGAATATATTGGATAAACGATAATATTATTGGTTTATCGATAAAGATAATAATCTATCAAGCGCTGTCCGCATCTGTCACTTCTACGTGACGGTGGTTGTGAAACGGTTATCTCGTTCGTATGTTAGAGACTAAGGAATAATAGGATATGGTGAAATAGGAGGTTAGATATAAGTACGAGGAAGTGCGGTACCGTGAGGAAAATGGTGAAATGTTCTAGGAAGGATTTTTCGCTGTCGGAACTATGGGTGTCATCGCACGATAAGTTAAGCGACTTCTACTTGTCGGCATGGCAGCGAGGCGAGTCGCCCGTGCCGCTGCTGGTGGTACGGCTGACGCTGGCGGCGGTGGCCAGTGGTATCCTAATATGGTCGTTGGTGGCGGGCGCGGGCCCTTACTGGATCATCTACCTAACCAACTGGGGCCTACTTCTTGTCACCATGATGACGCTCAGCGGACTTCTCGTCTCTTGTATGTCTCTTTGCAAACCACTTACCGGTGAGTGAATCATAAATTTTAAAAATTATAGTCCTTTTTCATCATTTATCGATACTAGGTAATTGTAACTTAAATTGACATCCTATTCTTTAGTTAAGAAGTTTTGTACAAACATCATAATATTCATTAAAAAAATTAAATAAACTTCATATGCATTTATACAAAAAGCTACTCCAGTCGGTAGTTTTCTTAACCTACGCAAGTTAAACATTATAAAAATAACTTAGTTGACGTAGTCATACTTCACCCTATCTAATTTTAATGTTTGTAACAGAACATTTTCAAGTGTCGAGTTTTTTATTCTATTTGCGATACAAAAAACACTATTTGTATATCATATGTTATCTATTACTTTCCAAATTGTCTATAATCGTACAAGCAAGTCACGATGTCACTGCCGATACTAAAACATTAAGCTATCGACAGAATGCACATTACCATTTTGTGAAATAAGGTAACAAATGGTTATGTTTCTCATGCGAGCTAGTGAGCACTCGGGGTGAGGAACATTAAACCCATTAAAAGCACCTACTTTTATATATAATCTTGGTATGTCACTACTATATCGAAGAAATAGTCTATCAAAGTTTATCACGGATCAAGAATTCATGAATCACAAGCGTACTAAGACTATGCGTTCCACTTTTAATGTACGTAATATCTGACCTGGGATTTCGATCCAGCAGTGAGATTAAATGTATTAAATGTGTTTATTAAAGTATCCTGGAAACAAATTTATAAGAACCTTAACGTACATTTACACTAGCTTAGTAAAAATAAATGAATTCTGGATCTATCTTTAGTATTTAAAAAGAAGTTATTTAACTGTTCCTTTCTGCTAAGATACTAATATTATAAATGCAAAAGATTTAGATGAATGGATGAATGTTTGTTAGAGTTTGTAGCCTAAACGGCTCAATGGATTTCGATGAAAATTAGTACAGATGTAGAGGATAATCTGGAAGAACACATAGGCTACTCACTTCTGTTTTTTTTAATTCCACGAGGACGGAGTCGCGAGCGAAAACCAGTTGGTTCATATTTAAATATTTTCAATTCATTAAAGTCTTACACACCTTAATAGCTTTTCTAACAGCCTTATAAACATTATCAAATACAATTCAATTTCAATGCTAGCGTGTTATTGCTTCGTTATCACGACTCACCTAACGTAGTCAATCTACTTCGTACATTTGTTTACAAATTCACACTCCAGTTCAGCTAAAAAAAGTCAAAACGGATATGAACAGTTAAATATTGTTGATAACTAACCGGAAATACTCTTAACTTGTTGTTAGCTTAAGTTTTAAGCAAAACCTGTTAAATCTTAAACTTGTAGGACGTTGTATAAATTAAATTGTTAAACAAAGCAATGTTTTAAATTGTTCAAATTATAAAATTTATTTTAAGGTTTCATTTAGCGTGTATGTTCCGAACATCAAAAGATTGAAATCTGAACAAAAGATTTTCTTTTACTGACTTATGACGTTATCAATCAAAGATTTTATCTTTACTTAGATAATTTGCTTACCTTATCGATTACACATCGACTACTTCAATTGATAGCAAAGATTGATCTGTTATATTTAAAAGCAAACAAATTAAACACCCTATTCAACCATATAAATAAATATTATTGCTAAAATTACTTTTACTAATATTATAAATGCTAAAGATTAGATAGATGTTTGTTAGAGTTTGTAGCCTAAACGGCTGAACGGATCTCGATAAAATTGGCAAAGGTGGAGAGGATAGCCCGGAAGGACACATAGGCTACTTACTACGGTTTTTTAACTCCTCGCTAAGTCGCGGGTGAAAACTAGTTTTCTTATAAATTTAGTTAAAGACTGTCTTCATTAAGCCATCGTATTACTATTGCTGCGTTATGTAACTTTCCATCGCCAGTAGGTGGCGTAGTTGATGCAATTCTCAAGATCGTCAGTCACTATTGCTTTATAGTCCGGTGAGCGTGCAACATCGCGACGTTGCCTCGACCTGCCCCACAAGCACCACGTGCCCCACATGCTTACATTATGACATAACTTATTAACCAGGAACTTTGACATATGCACCTGATATAAGAAACAATGGCTTGATGTCTACAACTAAAAAAGTTAAATTAATATCAAGTTTCGTTAAAATTTATCATTTAGTTTTTATATAAATGAATTCATAAATTACAGCCAATGTATTGAATTTTAGCAAGTATATTATTTTAAATGTTGAAATGATAAAAGTGCTTGTTTTAATAAGAAATAATACCGAACTCAAAAATAATTATTTCTCTGTATAGGTAGCCGAATTTAATTAAAAAAAAAAACAGTGTCGACAATACAACACGTTATCATTCCGAGAATGTTCTTGAGACTGATGATTCTTAAATTTATCGACCTAAAGACATTATCAATGTTTGCTGTACATACTTACCTACCATACGTGACAATCCAGCAGTGAGGAAAATGTCAAATCTTTACACCGCTCAAGATTTGTTTTAAATCATTTTGATGCTTAAAATCTTACCAATGTTATAAAACGAAAATTTAGATGGATGTTTGTGGGATCTCGAGAATAGTCTACAAGAACACATAGGCTACTTGCTTTTTTTTTAATTCTAACGCAGACAAAGTCGCGGTCGAAAGCTAGTAAAAAAATAATTACATACTTGCTATATTGTTGCCTGGTACTACAAATGTTGTTATTATCAATGTTGCGATATTGTTCCAGACGCAGTGGAACTGCCATGGTACGTGAGCATGTACTGGCTGATATACAACATAACTGTCAGTATAGCCATCATGATCACACTCCTCTACTGGATACTGCTCTTCGATCCTGGTTAGTATATGTCGAACCATTTTATATCGGAAGACCTTAATATATTGGTACTGCAAATTAGTGGAATTGAAACGTTGCAGGTAACGCATTTATTTGTTCTGATTTAAACCTTACTCAACTATCAGAAGTTAAGGATACGTTGTGTATAGTTTAAACGAAAATTAAAACACATAACAGCTAGATGTTCAAATGCATGTTTTTTTTATTTATTACCATCTGTGAAACCAATATTTACGTATTTGATGTTGTAATAGAAGACACTTCCTTAGTCGTCGTTATTACACTAATCATTTAACCTTAACCTCAAATGGGAGCGAGTTAATACATAACTATTTATTGCATCCACTGGAAAACAGTTTCGTAAACGTCGTGACACCAAAACAAATGAAGGTTGTGCTGGAAATTGTAAAAATTAGCGCGTATAGTTTAACAAAATTTAGCTGCCTTAACTTAACAGTGTCTCCAATTTGTTTTATTTCCTTGTACATATCCTTCGTTATACCGTCATAATATTGATAAGGCTATAGCTACGAGGCTCACGACTGCTCTTGCTACTTTGTCCGTTTTTACTTTGTACACTTATTCCTGTATTATGAAAAACCCTCGGGTTTTTCTTTCTGTAATGATTCGATAGATGATATCAAGAGAATGACTCGACAGTTACGCCACGCATTACATTACAATCCAATTTATTGCTATCTACTCAAATGAGATCCCGAATTATTCCCGATATCTGTTATAATCCTTTATACGTTATCTAACTACAAGCTTAACTACTTACGTTTCCGTGTAACGAAGTCCGTCCATCAATTTTATTATGGCTGATAACAATGATAGTTGCACACTGAAGTATTTTTTATTTGAATTTCATGTGATGTGTCTAAACGCTATAACAAAAAATTGTTTATGAGTATAATCCATAACAAATAACCGGTTTCATAAGAAATCATGTTTTATTTGGACATGGTAAATCTACAACGTAGCCTAAAACGACGTAAATAATCAACATCTACTTATCCTTCTGGGTTACGAGCGTCTAATTATATTTTTTTATGGAAAAAATTGTGAACAATAGACCGGAGAACATCGCGGGTGGGATCACGAAGCTACTTTATCCGTGTTTGTTCCCTTATGTTTTCTTTTTCCATAGGCAATGTCGAAGCCCCTAGCCTCATTCATCGCTAGATTAAACGCGCTCCCTCGTGTTTGCAGGCCAGCCTATCATAAAGCACATGTATTAGAATTCTTTGATGTAAAATGGAAAAGTACAAAGTGCGAATGTCGTGTGTGTCTTTGCGAGTCGCGCGATGCTAGCGCCAGTCATATTGTTGGATGTGGTAATCGGCAACTACGACCTAAATTATGATTTCGCAGTAAAGATCGTTGTAAATAGCAATTAAGTGGATATTATCAAAATGTATTTTCTTATAAATCCCATAAACTTTTCACTACAGTAAGAAAAATTGAGTAATCTACGAAATCAAAGACACCATGAACCCTCTCTTTAATCATATGTTTTAAATACACACTTAACAGATGGTTAGAAAAGTTAAGTAGAAGCGTTAGGAGGTACTGTGATACAAGTTTTAATATGTTTATTTAATTACAGATGAGACCAATGACGGTAGTGCACAGGGCGACATCTGGTTAGACGTGGCGACGCACGGCATAAATTCGTGCATTACGTTAGTGGAGGTGCTGGCGGCGCGCACTCCCGTGCGGCTTCTCCACGTGTACCAGCCGTTAGGTGTCGGCCTATGGTATGCTGCATTTTCCGGCGTCTACTATGCAGCGGGGGGAACCGATGGGTGAGTATAAGATTTACTCGTCAATGAAGACTGTGATCTTCAAAAAAGTTGCCATGTATCGGTACCAATGAAAAAATATTTATATACCGCATTTTCCATGTTTTTCTGTTAATTTGTTTTCAATGATTTTTTTTTCTTTTCCAGGAATGGCTACCCTTTCATATATGAAATATTGGATTGGCGGCAGGGCGGCCGTGCTGGCACCGTGGTGGCCGCATCCACCGCTTGTTTAATAGTGATCTACGTATTGGTTTGGGGCACAACTTTGTGCAGAGAGAAACTCTCCCTAGCAACGATACGTACCACCAGTCATTCCTTGCCTTTAACTCCGCCCGATCCTCACACGCATATCGTATGATTATCTGTCGAATCGTTATTTTTACAGATTGTATTGCGTAATCGTGCAACGTTTCTGTAAATTTCTGACGTGACCTTTGTATAAAACAATATTGCTATCTGTTTTTGTTTCTATGAGGTAGTGAAGGATAGCAACATTGTCTTTATACAGCCGTTACAATAGGAGAGATTCACCGTACTATTTGTATGTCGTTGTACTTAATTTTATGACTGGCCATGTTTATGACTTTTGTGATAGGCTAAAATGTTGCCTATTGTGATGAACTACCAATAATTCAAAATAATATGTACTTTCTATATTAGATTTATTTAAAAGAATCATTTGCGTTTTTAGTGGATTTTAATGCCTGTACATTAAGAACCTTTTCCGTAGGTAAACATCGAATTACAATATTATGGTCCATACATTTTGTATATAATTTTGTGTAAAAGTTAAAAACAACTGAACGTGAAACAACTATTATTATTTTAAGTCATAAATTCAAATACAATTTACGTAATACTTGTGCTCTCTGGATATTTAAAATATTATTATCGAAATATCTTACATACAATTTTAAAGTATTAAACGATTTAAAAAGTATACATGTTTTCTAATATCTTAATAATATAAAATTATTATAAATCTAATGTAAACATTATTATTGCTAAAATCCATATATAATTTTAGACTTAAAAAATCGCCAAATTTACAATAAGTAACCTCTAAGTTTTAGGATAACTTGAAACATTCTTGTGCAAAATTGAGGCTCCATATTTTTTGTGTACAAAAGCAGGCATTTATACGTATATCGAGATGAATTCGATATTATCATAATTTTGCACAATAAATATAGGTAGCGTGTGGGTGGTCTTAATGCTCCATAGGGGGCGCTGTAAAAATGTCATATAAGTCGATACTTTCTCGCAAATTTTCGTGCAAAGCATTGTTTCACAAATTATGTCCTTATTATTCACATATACAATTATGTGTTTTGTATATTTGGAGTTGACTTTTCTCCAATTTCCATATTAATGCAGGAAATTGTATTATGAAAGGTATATTTTAGTAATAGGTACTGAGAACTTTTGTATACTGTACGTATACTTTAAGTGTCTTAATTTTTATATTAAAAAAGTAAATAAACACTTGGTTTGTTTTATTTTTTACCCAAAGGGACTATCAGAAATATTCTTGGTATTTCAATTTAATTGAAACTCGAAAATATGCGCTCTCGGGGACCAATTTTACTTCTACTAATTATTATAAATACGAAAGTTTGGATGGATGAATGTTTGTTAGCGTGTGTAACCTAAACGGCTGAACGGATCTCGATGAAATTGGCATAGATTTAGTCTGGAAGAACACATAAACAATTAAATTTTCAAATACCACGCGGACAGAATCGCAGGTGAAATCTAGTTTTATTTTGATTATAAATTCATCATTTTATTTGATACCGAGGATTGTAAAATAAAACAATCATACATTTCATCTAAAACATTTATTTCTATATAGCGAAATCTGCAATTAAACAGAAAGCAACCAAGTACAATACAAATCAATAACAAAACTAAATATGATATGTGATTAATTAAAGTTTTAAGTGACTTAGCGCGTGTACTGTGCGGACCTGGCCTCATTCACCAAATTATATAAACAAAACATTAGTATACAAACAACTTAAATAAAGCTTAGGTTTTAATATAATTTTGATATGACGTCAGCACTTATTATTTGCAAACTTAAACACAAGTACTTTAAATACCTTTATAATCGTTCGTAAAATTAACGCAAATGCTAGAAAGATTTCAAACACAATTCGTTATGAAAATATTAAAAACAGAGATTACAAATTTCAACATTTATAAACGAGTTTCCAAAAGCAGAGAAAGATGCAAATAAGTAGTGCCAACATTCAATAATAATTTTAACAAAACATTCCATTTTGGACAACAGTCTAAAAAATAAGGCTAATCTTATCATAAGAGTTGTATATCCAAAAATATATTTTATATACAATATTCTTATAATCTAATCGTAAAATGTTAGTCTTTTACAGGCGGTGCCTGGCCCTGTATCCAGATACATTACTTCGGCAGTTTCCCGTTGGACCGTTGGATCGGTAACCAATCGGCACAACGGGAAACATCCTTTACTCCTGAAATATAACGCTTACTTCAAACGGCATCAAATATAACTAATATTGACCTCTTTTCCCGTTACTAAAACTGTATATTTGAAGTCACTAAAATCCACATGATAGGTTTTAAGCTGTCGTGTTCTGTGCTTATTTGATTTTCACCAAGAACTTCAACAAACTTTTTTCAGACAATGAAGTAAAAGCTGTCATTTTGAAACAGGTAGAAATCCAACGATTACTAAAGAAATCAGTGGTAGATATCAAATTCTGTATTGTTTTAGATCTTTTTGTTTGTTTAACATCGAAATTCATAATTACGAAAACTTCCTTCTTTTGAAACTTGAATAGCTAACTGTATTCGGGACAGGATAGCATCAGAAAAAGTATCTATAGATCTAAGCAATCAATTACAAAACGTTAATTTCACTATACTAATATATAAGCTTGAGTTATATAAACTAGTACGAATAAATTGGATTAATAATCTGAATATTGCGTACTTAAGTACACGTTTTATTACATTTTAAAGGTTCATTATTGATAAACGATCACTTACAACTATTGCAAACACAAATTTATTCAATAATTCCACACTTTTCTCCAACAAATCAACAACTTAATATTTAACAAACTTAGCAATCGTTTGAAAACGATTTATAGTCATAAGTCTTCAATATAGTGTTTGCCAAAAATACTTAGGCAAATAAGTTAGCGTAATAAAGACGTTCTTTCTTTGTCTTACACGCTGAGTACATCTATCTCGCTTACTCCTTGGGGAAAGCGCGTTCCCGCGGTATTTCGGGCACAAATATTTGTGATGATTATTTTTTAAACTAAATATTAACACTCAGTACTAATTATACTAAAAAAACTACATATAATTTCATACACATAAAGACGGTATCACAAGCATACAAATATACTACTTTACCAATAAGTTTTACAAAATATGAAGGCATTTTTAGAGATCAGTTTATCAAATGATATTTTAGTTTCGAAAAGATTACATCCATAATAAGTTTAAGAAACTTTACTTTCTAGATTAGAGGATTATATAAGAAAATACGATACTGGATTTTAACGTTAGAATGTACCGTCAATGAGACCCTTATTTTATTATCACAAACATTATAAATTGGACACGCAGTACAAATAACATTAGTATAGGAAAGCACGAATACGACAAATCTACACAAAAAACTATTCCAAACCACTATTATAACACTTTACATTTACATGATAATGTCAAAATAATTACTTATTTATAAACACATAAAAATAAAATAATTTTGCTAAACAATATTAGAAATTTAGTGTGCCCGTGGAAGACAATTTGGTGTGACTTGTATATGAAAAACTAATTTTTTTTTAATTTCCGAAGACCTAGGGTTCCTAAAACGTCAAAAAATTATTGCACCAAAAAGATTGATAAATTTCGTTTATGCACAAGACTTGTGTACCGAGTAAATTTGTGCTAATTTTTTACCTATATTAGCGTCACAAAATATAATACAAATGTAATCAACCATTACGTAATAATTTATACAAAAAACTTGTCGTCTCCTTCACTCTCACTCAAAATTCTGAGAGAATCAGCTTTTGTTGTTATTTTTTTGTTTTCAATTTCATATATTTTTCATATTCACGTAAGAAAAGAACCTTTTCGATGTATTGAAAACGAACCTATATTATGAAATATTTCATGAATATTTTGTGTTGAATATATTTATTGTAAACAATTAATTATTACTTAAAAACAATAAGAAATAACAATTAGCTTTGAGCATTATTTATTATGTGAGCTCTTCGCTGAGTAAAAAGACGCGGAATGAGGATTCGTCAACGGCGTCTGTATACAGCAGCTCCTCCTATACAATAAATACTTAATATTAAGCTTGGTTCACACTTGGCCAGTACAGTTAGACAGTACTTAACAACTGGACTGGCATTCCGCTGTCAATGTGAACACTAATTGGGGCCAGAGAATCCAAACAACCCAAGCCTAGCTTGCGCTACTGGCCAACTGTACTGATCGAGTGTGTACCACGCATGACGTGTTAGAAAGAGACAACAAAGATTGTAGAGCGTAGTCTCTATCGCACGTTGCACGAAATATACTTATCGAAACATTATTGGGATGGTTTAAATATATGGATGTTTGTGGATGATTGATGGATATATTGACACCTCCAGAACAGCTCAAAGATCTCGATAAAATTTGGCACAGATGTAGAATACAATCTGAAAAACCTCACAGGCCAATTTTTTTTAATTTCGAGCAGACGAAGTCGGGGGCAAAAGTTAGTAATTTTTTTAAAAAACAAACATAAATTTGCAAAAAAAAAACAGTTTCAAACAATAAAAATAACAAAGAATTACGTACAAACTTTAATATAAAGTTTGATATAAGTAAGGCTAACCTGCATGAGATCGATGGTGGGGTGCGAGTCCAGCAGGCCGAGGTCGTCGCCCAGGGCGCCGCCGCCGGAGCCCACGCCCTCGCCCTCGCCCACGCCCTCGCCCACTTCCACGCCCACGCCCATTCCACCCCTGGAAAATAAAAAACGGTTTCCTTTAATCCACTAAATGCTACATCAGTAAAGGTTGCCATAAGTGTAGGGCTTTTATTAAAAAACGAATTATTCAAAAATATACTGCGATTGCCGACATCCTACATAACTAAGTAATGTGTGTTTACGCTTTATAATTTCTATTCAAATAATATAATTAGTATCTACTATCAAAATAAAAATTCCAGATTTCGGGAAGATGATATATATGCGTTGCATCAAGAATCGCATTTAAAATTTTTTTGTCTGTCAGGCTGTCTGTCCGCAAGCCTCGTTTGCTCCGGGTAATCTCCGAAACAACTGGGCCGATTTCGACCGGACTTTCACTAAAAGTTAGCTGACAGACGGGCATATAATACTTTTATCTAAATATTGAATGGACGAAGTTGCGGGCAACAGCTAGTGTTAGTATAAAAATAATAGTACAGACTCGCTATCGTCGTTGGTGAGCGCGTTGCCGTGCAGGAATAGGTCGCTTCGTATCGTGTAGATGTTCTCGCAGCTCTCCGACTGCTCCACCTGAATAAATATTAATTATATCACTACATGTATCTAATATATACAATAATCTATAAACACACAAAGTTTTCTAAATACTTCTGTTCCTATATTACTATGTGTGTCCAACAAACAGCAATACAGAACGTCAGTCGCCAAAAACAACCACGGAGTTCACAATCTACTATCTATCTCTTTCTACCTTGTGAGTCAGAAAGTCATTGTCAGCCATACATTGTTGATTTTTCTATCAGGGATATCGCTAATTCTATTATATTGTTTAGAGGGTTGATATAGAAACTGATTACCTGTACATCTTCGTCTAGCACGAATCCGTCCCCACAGTGGTAGCCACAGCGCGCGCGCGCCGCCAGCGGCCACGTGCAGTGCGTGCGCGCGCACTGCCCCTCCCCTTCGCCCTCGCCCGCGCCCTCACCCTCTCCCTCCCCCGCGCCCACGCCCTCCCTCACCACCTCCATCTCCATGTCCCCCTCAGTAGACACCGGTATACCTTCTAAATGCAGCCCCTCGCTCACTTCCACATTAGTAACGCCTTCATATTCCATCGTATCATTCTTTATCAAACTTACCTGTTGAAAAACATATAAAAAGCGTTTTATAATTGACTTAACTTTTTAAAAACTAACTGTTGCTCGCGGTTTCATCCGCGCGAAATTAAAAATTGATAAAAATATAGCCTGTTAGTCACAGATAAATTACCTTTCTAATGGTTAAAGTTATATAGGCCCAGTAGGTTTTGAGTTATTTCAATACATACAAAAATACAAATCTTTCCTCTTTACAATATAAGTATAGACTAGCTTTCCCCACGACTACGTCCGCGTTTAATAAGTAGCCTATGCGTTCTTCCAGACTATTTTCTACATCTGTGCCAAATTTTGTCGAGATACATCCATCTAAACTTTCACATTCATAAGAGAACATACTGGGGAATTAAATAATTGAACAGATTATGGCTTACTGTAAACGTGTTCTCAGGTTGCATCTCTAGCAGCAAGGGTTCTGTTGTGGTATTCAAAGAACTGGTTTCGTCTTTGTGAACTTTCTTCATATGCGTGTAAAGGGAGCTCATGGTGTTGAAACTTTGTTCACATCCTGTCAAATTAACAAATTACTTGATACACAAGATAAATCCTTTTACCAATTAATGAAATGAGAATGTCTATACATATGAAAAAAGATTCCACATTTCGAGAATATTTCGAATTTTAAAATATTTGTCTTCAAGTCGCATTTATTTTTTTTTTATTAATTTAACGGGACTTTGACGAGAATATGGTTTAGGAGAGGAAGACAATTTTTTTTTTAGTAAATTAAAAAATATAAACGTTATACAGTATAAGTGAGTTAACGTATGTTCCGGCTCGAAGGACCATAGCAGATACTGCAAGGTAAGTAAGTAGTACCGTGTTGCGTGCAGCGGTGACGCCTGTGGACCTGCTGGTGCGGCTGGTGCGGCTGGTGCGGCTGGTGCTGGTGCTGGAGGCGGGGCTGGTGGCGCGCGTGGTGGTCGCGCAGGTGCTCGCGGCGCAGGAAGGCGCGGCCGCAGGCGGAGCACGCGTGGCGCCGCTCGCCCGTGTGCCGGCGCGCGTGTCGCACCAGCTTGCTGGCCGTGCGGAAAGACCAGCCGCAATTCTGAAATATATTTTTTGAAATCTAATAAATTATTGAACACCACCACTCATTTCGTTTAACTGTGGAAAGAAAATTTAACCTTAATAATCTTGCTATGTCTATACTAATATTATAAATAAAGAGGAAATATTTGTATTTAGTATAACTCAAAAACTACTGGACTGATTTTAAAAATTCGTTCACCATTAAAAACCTATGTTATCTGTGAGTAACATAATATCACGGGGACAAGGTCGGGAGCAATAGAGCTTGTTAAAATGATTGCTAAGATTTAGGTGTACAGTAGTATACTAACAGGGAAATTGCAGGGGTAGGGCTTGTCGCCGGTGTGCGCGCGCGTGTGCTCGCGCAGGCGGCAGGGCTGGCGGAAGACGCGGCCGCAGCCGGGCCACGCGCACGCCAGCGCGCCGCGCCGCGCCCGCCCGTGCGCCTGCCGGTGCGCCCGCAGCGCGCACGCCCAGAAGAAGCGGCGCCCGCACTCGGCGCACCTGGCCAACACAATACATTCTATAATGTAATCGTAAACACACACTTCTGTTATGTAGCAAGCCAAGGACAGCAGCATACCTTTCTATAATTCTTCAATACTAATGTTATAAAGAGGATGATTTGTATTTTTGTGATTCAATGAAAAAAATCATTAAGGAAAGTAATTATATGCAACAGAATTATAATAAAAATAATTACATACACATAATTTGCTTGTTCCAAAGTGTGGTTCTCATTGAGATGTTTTAACACATCTTCTCTGGATGTGAATTTTTGTCCACATGGCTCCTCTACACCGGATCGGAATATCTTGATTGGGCATTCAACATTGGTCTGTCTCGGTGGTCTTGTACTGCCTTCTTTATGACTATTTTGGTGCTTTTTCAACTTTTGCTTATTCGAGAATTCCATATCACAATTGGCAACTTCACACTGAAAACATTATACTTTTGAATAACAGATATATGGCAATGACAATGAAAAATCTTTAACAGGAATCTTAAGAATAAATTTAAAGTACAAAATAATACTTCTTTACATATCCTTACAAGTTAATTAAGGGGATATAAGTTAAAATATAATTACCTTAAACTTGGCTTTAGGTTTATTGAGATCAAATGTGCTGTTAAGCACATTAGTCATAACTGGTACCACTTCACCTTGCAGAGTTATTATATTATTTGACTGCACAGAAGAAACTACAGACAAAGGTACCATCGTAGGCTCTATATCTAATTTTTGCTCTAAATATATGTTATTTTGAGATCCATCACCTGTAATTTAAACATTCTTTTATGACTAATAATATCTCTGGCCAAAAAATTTAAATAATTGTAACACCATCAATAGCATAAATTTTTAAACAAAGTATTACAATATTCACCTCAGACTTTTATGCTTTGTAAAATTGAAGTATCTATGTGAAATCTGATGCATGCAGGACTATTAAAGGCTACATTTTTAAATTCTCTGATAAAGTAGCAGGCAACTGCTATTTAATATATGAATACTTACAATGTTCTTTTATAACAGTCTGTGAGTCTTGCACAAGATCCAAACACCATTTTGTATTGTCATATTTATCTACGGTTTCAATTTGTATATCACTACTATTCACAAATCTGATGCCATTCTGTAACATCAAAATAAGTAAGTCATAAACAGTTTTGCATTTTAACTGTTATATAATTTGAGTAATAATAACAAATCCCAACCTGTTTTGAAACTCCTCCTACTAAGAATGAATCCACATTGACGCCACTCTGGATAATGTTACCTTCATTGTCTACAAACATATTACAAATATATTTAAATTACAAACTGACACATCATTACCTTATCACACAATTTCCTATTGGAAAGTGATTAAATCAGAAGTATTAATTTAAAAACCCAATGAGACTGTTTAAATTTTCTTAAGATAAACACATTATGTTTGTTGTTACAAAGTCACATATAGATTACATTATGCAATTGTAGACACCAGCAATAAGGCTTCAATTTTTTTTAATAATGTGTAGAATAGTGATATATAGACCCTTACAATTAAAAAAGAAACAAAAAAACAGACTTACTATTATCTTGCGTTGTTATGATAGTAAATGTTATGTCACTGACATTCTCTGTTTTGACTACTGTAGTTAGGGAGTTGTCCTCCGGAATTGAAGAAGCTGAGATCACTTTCTGTGTTGACTTCTTAATAAATTGATTTGGCTTCTCCCTATGTTTAATAACTATTTGTTTTGCTATTCTACTCTGTCCTTCATGTGCGTTTAATGATTTTTCTAAACTAGTGGTGACTAGAGATTTAGCATCAGGAGATTCTAAACTTTCGGAAGTTGCTGGTGGCCGTGCCAATGGCCCCTTTGTCTTTCTCCGTAAAATATTTGGCTTCTGAAATTTTTTCTTAACATTCTTGTCTTGTGACACAAACATATTTCTGGCTAATTCATTCTAAAGTTGTGATAGAAATGGTTACAAAATCAACACTTATTTAAAAAACTAAAAGGATTGCTGCTTTCCATTACGACATTGTAAACAACGATCATGTATTAACGATTATTAGAAGGAACGTACTTTATTCGTTTTCACGAATAAAAAGCAAGTTTTATAACAATATCATTCCTAGTTTATAGAGTTTACGTTTAACAATACACGACAAAACGCACAACTTTAACTTTGCTCCGCCAATTCATTACGAATTTTACATCATTAGTAAAACGAAAATATTTCTGACACTATATCAATTTCGATAATATCAAGCTCACACATTTTATTTTCGCAATTTACATTTGGAAAATGAAAATAAGAATAAAGTAGAATTTGCAATTTGCAACAATTTGGCTAGTTTTCGAACCACAGAGTATATTATAATTATATCAAAGATTGAGTAGGTTACATAGGGAGGTACCTTGTACTGCACTTAAAAAATTGGTACATCTATCGAATAATCAATCGACTTATAACCTGCGGGGATTTAGCAACGATAAAATAAGTACTGTAATCACCTGCACTTGTATGAAAACTGCATAATAACCGGCTCCGGTTGCTATCATCCATTACAAGTTCGATATACCTATTGTAAATTAATAATTTAATTAGCCTAGCTTGTTATTTATTTGTAATCTTTATGGTGACGGAGAGACGGCGTTTGATAATCTGTGCAGCGCGCGAAGTCAAAATAAAATCGAATCTCAATTAGAGGTTATGTGTAGACTGTTTTTAAGTGTTATTCGTGTTCTTTTTAATATAAGATTTACGTAATTATGGATTGGAATGAAATTTTATCAGGTGTGGAAGACTTAAATGATCCTACCCTTTACGAAAAAGTACTTATTGCTATTGATGATATTTATTGTGAAGATGAAGACTTTATGCAGGTATTTTTATTCGCACTAAATTTAACAATTGTTCGTATGTTAACAAATCACTTCATGTCTTTATTGCTTAACTTTGTTTCAAACGTTCCAGTTGTTAATAAGTAAACTTGATAATATGAATGTGACATGGGAACAGCCATGGTATCAAACTTCCCTGTGCCTTACACGTTGTACAGTTACGAACTATGAGGATGATGGAAAATTAGAGAAATTTCGAACAAGTCATTTTACAAAACAAGAATGTGAACAAATAAAAGAGAACTGGGCTGAATTTATTAAGGTAAATTTTACCATTTAATAATCTAATACGTTTTAAGGACAATCAAATAAGTGAGATGTTTCTACAATACTTGTAGATTAAAAGTAACAAAACTTGACCCTACAAGTTAATTTTATAGGAAGCTTGAGCACCTTTTTTTTATCTTGAGCACCTTAATGTTTACATATTTAATCTGTCAATGAATTCAATATCAGTCAAATATATCTTCATGAATCCCTATCAACTGAATACTGAAACTATATTAGAATATGTAACATCATTTTAAATGATAAGGCACAGCTTTAACTGCAAATTCTATTAAAATTTTGGCATCTGTCGGATTGAAAGTGGTTTTCGAAGCAAAGTGTCAAGGATTCATTTCAGTAAGGGCCTTATATATTTTATTTATTTTTAATTTAAAGACATATAATATATACGCAAATCTGGCATATTATTCTCTTGTATGTATGTTAATTCAATTAAAACCGTTTCAGGAATATGATGTACCCGACATGTTACAATCATTTGCACGGTGGAAAAATAGAGACTGTAAGAACCCTTCCTCGCCACATGAAAAAGTTAGAAGATTTGTTACTGCATACTTAGCACAAGGCCTTGAAAGAAATATGCATCAAGTTTATCAGTATGTTGTAAAACACTTTGGTACACCTGTTAAAGGAAACTATTCTGATGTTGAGAAAAAGTTATTTAATATTTGTTTTTATTTCACTGAAAAGGATGCAGTGAAAAAACTGTCACTACTTCTTGGAAGAGATCCTAGGGGTATTTATAAACAGCTTCGTCAAATGTATGAGGGTTAGTTTTTTTGAATGTTTCTTAAAATACCATTTGACCATGATCCCGTCTAAAGAAACTGATAATTCAGTCAAAGGACAGTACACATAAACTTAATAAGTAACCTTTTACTCTTCTAGAGCTGTCTATATCAAGCACAGTCATTTCTTTTATACATTAGTTGTTAAATTAAACATCTCACTTCTACTTGCTTAGTGACTAATTTGGTTTAAATGTTGTAGTTTAAGATTAGTTAATTTTGGTATAGAAAACATATGTTTTCAAATTGTAAATTTGAATTAGACCTAATAAAAACAATTTATTATTTAAAAAAAAAAGACCTGCTTATACCTTTTTGTAGTCGTCTTTTTATTTTAGCTATATAACTAATGAAAAATGTTGTTAATATGTTAAGAAACATAAGTATTTAAATGTTCCAGGTAAACCAGAGAAGAAAAAGTTAAAATGGACTTTACCCTTAGCTACAAAATTTTTAAACTTGCTTCTAAAATATTCAAACTGCTCCCTAGAAGAATTGAAATATAAAAGGTTTGACAAATCAGTTTGGCTTCAATTGGAAAGTGATATGGACCAGCAATACCAATATCTACAAAAGTTCTGGTATAACTCACTACATGTACAAATTTTTGTAAAACAGGATGTAAAAATTAACAGGCTAAGGAAAAAGATTATTCGTGTGTAAGTTCCTAAACGACATTACCAAGTATAAATTTTTGTTTGAATGACAGAATTTTAGCAAGATTGTATGTGTAGTTGAAATTAGTCATACTGTGGAAGGGAGTGTTTTAAATCTTTTTGGAGGCTAAGGGCCTGTCCCACCAGAGACTGATAGAAGCTCAGATAGCTTAAAAATGACATCACTGACAGATAAGGGAACAAAATCAGATATTTCCATCATTCATTTTATATGTTGGATTGTTATCAGACAATTTACTTTTACACCTTGACAGGCCCTTAGAGTGCAATGGCCTTCATATCTGTAAACATCCCAGAGAGATATATATGAACCCTTTTTTATCAATGAATACCCGAGATTAATAGTACGGAAGATGTCAGTTTCTATGATATATATAAAGTAAAAAAAATCATTTAATTTTCATTTTTTTCAGATTGAGAGACAGTCCATATGAAGTATGGAGGGATATCTGTTGGAAAGATTTGCCAAGGCATTTTCCAGATGGTTTTACTCATACATTTCTGTATAAGAATTTCACATGTATTTTAATTGGAAAAACTGATTATTTGAATCAACCATTACATGAAGTCTTAGATTATATTTTACACAAAGTAAATACCAGGAGAAGAAATAGAAGATTAAGAACTTTGTCATATGAAAATGGAAATCTTGAATTGATCAGTTACAAGGATACCAAAAACAATAATATAGAAGATTGATACAGTTGTAGTTTTATTTCTTCAATCTTTTAACTTTTTAAAATTTCATAACATGATTGTTTATGACTCGACATTTTGTAACCATTGCATAATCTGCCTTCTCTTTGACAGCACTGTGCTCTGTTTTTGACATTTGAGAGTGATTTCCCAACGTCAAATATTTATTTTGTTGTGTAGAAAAATTTTAAATGTTATGATCAGCTAACCGATATTTAAGGAACGTTTTTAACTTTATTTTAATCATCCATAAATATGATTCACAAACAAAAAAATAGCCGCAGAGCCATTGAAGAATTTTTAGACAGTGATGACGAATTTCCAGGTATTTATGTCGTATTAGTTTATAGTCTATATCTATAAAGCTTTGTTTACGTTTACAAAAAACAATTGTTATACGTACATACTAGCTGTTGCCCACTACTCCATCCGGGAATTAACTAAATAACAAGTGGCTTATGAGTTCTTCCAGCCTGTTCTGCAAGCATGACAAATTTTATCGAGATCGTTGTAGCAAATATCCATCCATCCATCTAAATTTTCGCATTTATAACATTCCCATGATCATTATTAATCTTATATTCCAGACAACTATTATGAAACAGCAGAGGTTCCTGTTTATTTAGATGACAACAGATTTGAAAGGATAGAGTTTAGTTGGATACAGAATCATAAATTACTCAAAAACGAATCAAATTCAATTAAAGAAGAATCCACAAATATAGTACAAGTTGAACCTAAAAAGAGTGTTGAGCAAAAAAAGTTCAACAATAGAAGTATAGTGAAAGGTAGTCTTAATAAATGTGATATTTTATCTTTAAAATCAGTGGAAAAGACAATTCCAAATGATGTTTTGCTATGGTTTGCTAATTTTTTAATGTTCAAAGACATGCAGTCACATTTTCTGATACCAAAAAGCTGTCTTGTTAGTGAACCTGTGAGTATTAAAATTGTAAAACAAGAAAAACCCACAAACAAAATTGATAATAGCAGCAGAGAAAACTTTACATATAGGGTTATAATAAGTAAAGAATGTAATTAATCATTAAAATCACTATTACTAAAAATTTTTATTTACATTAATTTACAAAACAACTTATTCCTAAAATGTTTGTTACATGTCAATGATATTTTGAAGAAGATCTATAGACCCTTTCTTAAAGTTTTTCATATAACTGTTAGGTAATCATGAATAAAAATCAGTTCAATTTAATATATATATATTTGTATACCTTATTAAATAAACATTTAATTACAAGTTTTTCAACTTATAATACAGTGTGAAAATCCTGTTTATATAGTAATATTGTTTTTAAGACTAAACAAACATATATCATTAATGGTGATCTAAAATGACAATAATTTTCTTTTACTAACACAAATAAAAAATATACTTCACATTCCTTGAAAAAAAAAGGTGTTTGTACAAATGTTTTAACAAGGGGTAATTATTTGATATATGTTAGCATTTTAGCAGATACTTCTTAAATTTTCTTCAATTTATTTTCTTTTAAACTAATTGTTCAACTCGCCTGCTGCTAATCTTTCTAAGAATCCTTTTGAACATCTCACTGACTGTTGATAACATTTTTCAAATCCTGCTGAATCACTATCCTAAAAAGATTATCAAAACTTGACCTTGTACTTGAAAATTATTGTAATTATTGTACTAAAATATGTGTTTTGTTTCATTTTAATGTAATAAGCAAGTTCATGTAAAAAATTGCCTATATTAGTTGAATAAATCAATAAATTTGTTTTTATAGTTAGACAATATTTTTTTATAAAATAGTGTAGTAATAGGTTTTTTGTATGTATACATACTTTAATAAAATTGTGAATGAGTGAAAATTAGAGGCTTTTCATTAATTCAGGAGAATATTAAATAATTTACAAGCTCATGTCTTATTATTTTTTTATAATCAAAATTCTCTAGATCTCATTTTGTTAAATATCATTGTGAAAAATTATAACTTACATAATAAGGGTCTCTGATGATTCTATCGCCTTGAGGATCAAAGTCTCCAAAAAGAAGCAATTTTGCTTTACTCCCTCTCGGAGCCCTCTTATTTAAGTCCTTCATGTTGGTTTCGTCCATTCCAAATATAAAATCATAATGGTTAAAATCTTCTGCAATGATCTACAAAGAACATGTATGATAACAAAATGCACCTAACGCATGGAAGATTTTACAAGTGTTTGTTTTTTAATTACTTCAAAAGGCTAGAATAAACTTTTCTATTACTTAAGAGTGTAGTTAAAAACCAAAGTATTATTACCTGCCTAGCACAATTATTGTATGGTACACCATGTTTTTTCATAGTATCTAGAGCTCTCCAATCAGGTGGATTACCAACATGCCAGCCACCGATGGCTGCACTGTCAATTTCCCACTCATCACCTAATCCCATATCATTGACAGTCTTTTGAAATACCCCCTCTGCTATTGGTGAACGACAAATGTTACCTAAAATTCACAAAATAAAAGTAAGATGATGGTATCGCTGACCTAAAATTGATCTATTAGGAAATATCATTTTTCATCAAATCAAAATTATGTATCAAGTCCAACTATGAGATAAAAAAAATGTTTATTATATTAGGTACAATGTTTTTATTACTTTATGATATTCTTATTTAACTAATTATATAGGAAATAATCATCTTAGTAACTACATGGCTATTATTGTCGGTCTACAAGGCCCTATCTTTACTAAAGATAATATTTTCTATCGATTATTCGTCTGCTATTTTATTGTAAAAACAGTTTCTTACCCAGACATATAAATAATGCTTTCCTTTTTTCAGTAGACATAATGAGTTAATAATGAAATCCTTCGTAATTTAATATACTTTAAAATTAAGATAACCTTTGTGTTTTACACCAAAGAAAACTGTTTCTGTTTATGTCATGCGCGACAAAATGTCAACTGTCAAGATCACATCTTGTCAGTGTCACCTCTTGAATAGTGCAGTGCCACCAGTATCTGTACCAATACTCCATGGTCCATTGGTTCAGGAAATAGCGTCTCGATCTCGTAGATTGTTACTAGAGTCATATCGGTTTTTACGATAATTTGATGTTTTTTAAGTACAAATAAATTGTCAATAACGTAAAGGCCATCATCATCATCATCATCATCATCATCTCCTTATCCTACTCCCGTAGGGTCGGCGCAACAGGTTTTTGTCCTCCACATAACTCTATCATACGTCATCTCAGTCATCACTCCCTTTTTGATCATGTCACCTTTTACACAATCCATCCATCTCTTTCTAGGATAATTAATAATGTTTTTATATTTTTAAAATTAATGTTACCAACTAGAAGACATGATGTACCAAAGTTTTAAACGAAGCTTCAGTCTTAAAAACTTATGCAACACTAGTTAAATGATAACACTATTACGTCAAATTAAAATCAAATGTATTATCAGCAAAGCACAGCTGCAGGTAGTCATACTTTAAACTTATCGCGGTTTAAACGTATCTTAATCTTTAATACATCCGGGTAATAAAGTTTAGGTGTATTTCTCAAATTGTATTTTTGTAATTACATTGCGCGATCTAATAAGCTTTAAAAAAATGGGTATTACTAATAAAACGCTTAACAGTATACAAACTAAGCTGATTACTCAAGGAGATCCTTTTAATTGCGGTGGAAAAGATGTAATAATTTGTGTGACAGGCAATCCTGGCTTTATCGAATTTTATACAGAATTTTGTGAAGAACTTCACAGGAGTACAGATTTGCCTGTTTGTATAATTGGTAATTCTCTTAATATTTATTTTTAAAAAGTTTCTGTTTTATAAGTATACTATTATAGGATAGCAAAAGATCAAGCAAGCACCTTAATTTATTAAAATATTAAAGTGGCCACTGTACCAACAATGCAGAAGACACACAAAAAGTGAATAATAGCTCTGCCTTCACTTCCTTCCTCTGCAAAAATCCACCGCACCTTCCTGAGAAGGGGAAGGAAAGGATGGGAAGGGGAATTAAATTAGGTCCCCAGCCTGCAAAAGAAAAAGGGGGAATTGATTCCATGTCACGCCTGACTCCTTTGGGCTTGTGTTATCGATCCAATTTTATGCAACTATATTTTGTTAAGTTTATTTTAATTATTTTTTCTTGCTTATATTTACAGGTCATGCTGGCCATGAGCTGCTGTCTGATGAACAAAGTGAACTCAGAGGTCAAGAAGATATTTTTAATTTGAATGGACAATTAAAACATAAATTAGACTTAATTGAAAATCATATTGATAAAAAGAGTAGATTACATTTAATTGGGCACTCGATTGGATCTTGGTTTGTTTTAGAGCTGTTAGACAACAACCATCATGTGTATGAAAGAACTGCATCAGTTAATTTACTCTTCCCAACCATACAGAAAATATCATTATCTGAAAAAGGGAAGTTTTTAAATGGCTTCATAAGAAAGATGCATTCTTTATTATTCTTCTTTTCATTTTTATTGTATTTACCACAATTATTTCTATCATTTTTAGTATATGTATATTTAAAGATAAATGGTTTTTCATCAATTAATAGAACAAGAATTCTTAACATACTAAATCCAACTATTTTAGAAAAAGTTTTATTCCTAGCTTATGATGAGATGGACAGGGTTACTGAATTAAACAAAAAAGTCATTGATAAGATTAAACATTTAACTAATGTAATATACACTAAAAATGATGGATGGGCACCTTATGAATATATGAAAGATTTAATGGTATACCAACCAGATCTGCAAATGAAAGAAGTTAATGTTGATCACAGTTTTGTTTTTAAATCATCAGAATATATAGCTTTGTTGGCAGCAGATTTTATTAAGAAAAAACAATTGTAACTTTTTTTTTATATTTCACTGTTGACAACGATAATTCACGCTACTCTATAATAGCATGAATGTGGGTTGGAATAATTGTATAACGATGATTGGTAATTTTTATCAGTTGGTACATGTGTAAATTCAGCTATAGGTAGGGTAATCAAATATTTGTGAAAACAAATATTACTTGGGTGAGTTTACATCGCGAGTCATTGTCATTATGGGATTCTAGGGAGAAAAAATTTGCATGAATAAATACTATGACAAATAAAATATACTAAAGATATTGTTTATTTTTTTATCCTCTTATTACAATACAATGTTATTTTTGTGATAGTTGTATTTGTATCTTTATTACTTTAGACCTGTATAAAGCCCCAAACTGGAACCAGAACAATATAAAGTAGCAGAAGTTAAACGAACCTCTCAATCGATCGGTTACATTTAAAACGTATTTACCCTACCGGCCCGAATCGGAAAGGCGGCTGAGATCTATTAGATACAAAAATCTACATGAAAAACATTTTCAAAGAAATGTACTGCCCTTGTACACCCATAAAACGGTGTTTTTGTGTGTACATGTGTATCACTTAAAATAAAAATGTTTTTTGTTAATCTTTTCTTTCCTAAATGTGCATAATTTAACATGTGTAATTATTTATCGTTAGTGTTGAAAATAAAACTCATATAGTAAAACACTGGTCGGTTTTATCATTATTGAAGTATTAGATAATAAACATTTAAGAATTAAAACAATGAAATATCTTTTAAAAACAATTTATTTATAATTGAATATTACAAATGACCAAATGTTGTATATTTAATGATAAGTTTGTAAAGCCGCTACACGCACAAAACTGTTTTATGATAAAATCTGAAATTTAACTTCGACATTAACAATAAAATTACAACTACCTTACAAAATGTTACAACCGGCACTACCCCGCGGACAAACGCCTGTAAAACATTCCGAAGTACTTGTAACTATGTATATATTCAGATAATTTAACATGTATACAAAACGGCGATTTATTACATTCTAAGAGATTCGAAACATGTTCATTTTACCGTATGATTTTACATGGTAAATCACTTCACAAATAATATAAATGTTATTTTAAATACCACAATATTGCATTTGCATATATTATAAAAATTAAAATGTAACATGCAAATAAGTCTATCGTATTTTTTTTATTATATTTTTTTATATCCGAGCATAATACAATGCACGACCCTAAGTCACCTTTCATGTTATTAAATAGTTCATAATTATTACATTAAGCTATAACATGAAAATTGTTACAAGATTTATACACAGAAATTCGAAAAACGTACATTCAGTAGAAAAAATAATTAAAAATATAGACTTTAAGTGACACCATATTTAATTTTTGATTTTTATATTTTAAGGTATAAAAAATTGTCGGTTTTGATTTTACGATAATTTTTTGCATATAAAATCACAAGCTAAAACGAACGCGAAAACATTCTTGTTTTTAGTTAGGTAAGTTTTTTTGGTGGTTTTTATTTACAGGATGACCTCATGGTTCATAATATAAATTCTTTTATTATTAGAGTTTTGTATTATTTGTAAGTTTTTTTTTGTTTTTCACGGTGATTTATCGCTCAACAATATACAAGTATAAGGTAAAAATTAATTTAAATGTTATATGCTACAAGTTAAAAGTTAAATATTGGATAATTTATCTCATTTCGCGCGTCTTTGGATAAACTATGTACAATGGTGATGATAAAACATTTGTAAGTACATTTGGTATTTGGAAGCCCAGGTAGGGAATATGCAATAGTACATGACAAAAAATTATAAAATAAGACGTTATTAGTAAAACTTCATACAAGACAACTTATTCAGCAAGCTAACCTTCAAACGTTACCAGTTTATAATTAAACTAGATGTAAGATTGGCGCGTTTATACAAACTTTTGATGCTTAAATTGGACCTCATTTTGCTAAATAAAAAAATGATATTTCATACACACCTTTATATTCATAATATAAACTATAATTTAATAATAAAAATATGGATAAAATGATATGGAAGTACAAGTGGCAGAGTGCGCCGTGCGGCCTCCGCCTCCGCCTCCGCCTCCCCTACGTGCCTTACATATGTACACTTCAATGTGTAATCAGTACATTAACAATCGATAAAATTATGAATTCTTTTAGACTTTATATAAGGACTGTGCGTAATTCATATGTATTCATAACGGTGTACAAAGTAACGTAGGAACTAGCGAAGTATCTTTCACGTATTATACAAGAGTATGATAAATGTTAAGTATTTTACCTTCTATAAATTAGAATCTACTACAAAATGCGATCATCGACACATGACATTCACACATCGCACGACCTTAGAAATTTAAAGATAATTACATTACATATTGAATAAAAAACCACTCACATCATCACACTCGACATGCGAAACTTCATAATCATCGAATATACAGTCGTAATTTTGAAATCTTAAACTAGGGATACAAAAATTCGTTCTAATAATACTCATTCATTTACGACACACGAGTGACGCACTCAGCACGTCGTCTCCAGCAGCGGGTCCGGAGCCTCCGCGCGCTC